TTTTGAAGTCCTTTCAGCTTCTACTTTCGCAGAACACTGATAAGGATTCTCCGAATTGTTGTTTTATTTTTCTGTCTTGTCCCATCTTGTCTGATGCAAAAGTCTCTCTCATGCAGAGAATCGTGCGCGTCTTAAATCTGTTTTTGCCGAAATCATCGTCATCTTATCACCCCTTCGTCATTTTAGTCCTTACCGTTCCCTGTGCATTACATTTTCACAATATCTTTGTCAACACAATCTGAGCTCGTGGGTTACTGGAGGCCAAAATTGCAGTTCTGAATGGATTGTATCTGTCACTTGTGCTGATCCTCAATTTCGCAAAATGCCACAAAATATCTCCAGCTCCTGAACTCAATCTAATTAGTCCAATTTTGAACAGTCCCTGTCTGACATGCAACTAAATTAAACCATATCTGCGCTGCGCGTGTAACATAATACGGCTGTCCATTAGGTGTTGATGTCCACTCCGGATGATGTACTTGTATATTTAGTGTAAATAAGTGTGACATTAGTAATGCCAGAACAACAAATGGTACAGTATGATGTGCTAGAGCTGACCAACACTTGAAAGAGGTACAAAAATAGTTCCAGTGCTCATCCAATAATTCAAAATTCTCGCCTTCATAAGCCTGAGAGACCTTTTCCCACACACCAAATTGAATGAATCATTCACGCCGTCAGATTGTGGGTCTAAAGGTTACTTTGTCAAAGATTAATTTTTTATAATTATATCGTTTGGGTTGAGATGCTGACGGCTTAGGTAACAGTAGGAACGTTGACAAGAGTTAAATAGGCTACATCGGTGAATGTGTGCTTGGCTTGAAGTACGAGGTTGACTCAGCCTTTCCACCTTCCCTTGTCCTCCGTAAACACACTTGAATACATGTATACGTCGAAGGCTTTTATTTCTCGACGTGGAAGTTCACGTTACAGACCGAGGTTTGTTAGCATATGTGGTATATCGGAAGCCAATGCACTTTATCTTCAGATTCACACCATGCTCTTACTGACAGTCTGTCAGTGGCAGAACACTCTTCTGTTGAGCCAACCCCAGTGATACTAGATCCAGAAAAGATCGAGAAGGAATTTTAATGTACCGTATTTGCAAAGGAAAAGTGCGCTAAGCAAGCTAAACGGTTGTCACGATGTTACATGTGGCGCATCTCTCAGAAAAACGACACAGGCATTTGCGATACACATGACGTCACAACAGTTTTCAAACTTTGCCACGCAATACTGAAGCTCACTGGTACCACGAAGTATACATTTTTGCCACAGTGAGTATATTATTCCAAGTTTGGGTTAACGAGATATTTCTTTCCAAGTTCTTTTCGAGATCAGTTTTAGAAACATTGTTTCTATCCTTGGAAAAGATTCGTTTATAAGAGATATATTACCAAATTGTTTCCAAGGGATACATATTGTCAAGTTTGTTTTTGAGACACGTGTATAAAAACAAAGAGAAATATATATCTCGTAAAAACAAACTAAGCAAAGTAATTTATGGCACAGGATGTTAACAAACTGATTGTAAGAGTTTTATGCAGGAGGGTCACAATAATAATTGAGTGTTCTTGAACATGAATGGACACAAAAGGCCCATAATAGTGACGATGGCGTGCACACCAGAATATGTGGTCTATTCACATCAGACTTTAAAGGAAACATACCACTCAACCAACGTCTAAAGATGTAGTTATTTAGGACAGAGAGGACAGGTGGTTTCAAAAAGGGAGGAATGTGCTTTGGTCGTCCCTTTGCAAGGAGCTGTACCCTGCTTGAAATACCTAGCCGTCCGCCATTGTACGTGTCAGAGCTTGACAGAAATCCTTCCGATGACGTGACAGTCCTTAACATCGGTGATTATCAGAAGGAGGCGGTTGCGTGAGAGACAACGTAAGTCGGAATCTACTATTAGAATTACAATTTTCAAATTAAATACTTTGCACAGATTAACAGCAATCTACATCAGTGGGTTCAAATGAAAAGAACACAAATTGACCAAGACTTGCTTTTACGTAGATGTCTGATGAGTATTTGCTCGCAGCTAGCAATGAAGGTTACGCATTAAAGGCAGAGTTGGAGGGCAAGGACTTTGTATCGCCAGGATAGGCTCAAGTATACCTTCTCTGCGTTCATGGTCACTAAATTTAATTAAGAAAGAATAGCCTTCAAGGCACCAGCAATACGTAACCTCTAAAGCTACATTTGCTGTCATCGAGAAAACCAGATCTTTACAGGGGCGGATCCATGATTTATTTATTTATTTTGTGTGTGGTGGGGTTCAAGAAATTTTTTTCATATAAAGGAGTCGGAGGTTACTATATGTAGCTCTCTTCTTAGGTGAAGCCATTTAATCCCATTGTTTTGTCCTTAACCGTACACGCAAAATAAGGCCCCTACATTATGCTTTCACGGATCTTTCAACCTTCGGACCAAATTGGTGTTGAGCAAGGGGAGTGCTGAGCTGTAAACCCCTCATCTGGATCCGCACCTGCTTTAGTCGAGACGTCTGTAGTCCACACTCCTTCTGGGTGGAGGAGTGATCATACTTTTCACTGCCTGCTTAGAAGGATTGAGTAAACATTTTTAACGTGAAGTAAAGGATGTAAGGTAGAAAAGCACTTGTGTTGGCTTTAGGCTCCTTTCGAGTGTTGTTTCGCCGTCCATTTAAATGACTTTTCTCAGTTCAGTTTATGCTTTTTTCTCAGTAAAATTTGCTGGTCTTTCTTATTGTCCTTTTTGTGTTGTCTCTTTTCGTTTGTTTGCTTTAATGTTCATTTCTCTTTTTCTAATTGTGGGACCCGCTAAAACGTTGGCGTTAATGTAAGCTTCCTGTCCGGCTTCTCCGGTCTCGAAATTAGTTGGGAAACCTGTCTTTCGTCTCATTTTATGCTGATTTATTTCAAAGAAGTCTGGTGCCAGGCTTGAGGCCAAACCAGAGACGTGGGCGAAAGCAGAGGTTTAGGAAGCCACAACGCATTTTTGATTGGATGTTGTGTAGAAGCAGAGCTCTGATGAAAAGGAGTTTGCGTAATTTGCCTGTGGGTATTTCTTCGCTTCAGACGTGGGTATTAACCAGAACCTTCTGTGTGCGACTTCATTTTGCCAGTGTTGTGGTCAAGTACTTTGGATTACCAACTTTACTGCAAAATATTGACCTGGTTAGCTTTAGATTACAAAATGAATTTACTACGATTGTTGCAAAGTAATTTTTCAGATAACTCTTGAAATGAACTTCAATTGCTTCAATTTTTGGCCGTTTTAAAAGGTATTTTGTTGCACTGTTGGGTTTGTATGCTAATACATGTAGCAATTTCAGTATTCATGAAAACAAACTGTGAGGTCATTCCAGAGGAAAAACACCTCAACGTTTCCTTGATTTATGCCAATGAAAGCTTTAGGGAGTTTTGATATTTTGCTATTATAAATTATCAAATCGAGAATTTGGTAATTTAACTCAGTGATCGAGTTATTGTATTGTATACATGGCAATAAGCCAACGAAAAGCCCTTTCTCAGACATTTTTCATTTTCAATGAGCAATTTTGGATTGACCGCTTGAACAGAAAAACAGATGAATTGAACCGTGTCTTCCTGGAACGACATCACAGCAACAGCTCACTCTGCTTTCTGGAAAGCAATTACAGTTTTAATATTTAACAAAGGTAATGTTCTTTTCAATGCACTAGACCTGGAGGAGTCATCAAACAAGTCTTGATATACTCGAAAAAAAGTAGAAAGCTGCAAAAGCAGTGCGACTTGGGAAAAAATCCTCGCCTGGATCATGTAGGACTTCAGACCATCACAGTTTTGTTAAAGAGTAAAAATGAAAATGGACAATCCTGCTTCGACAAGTACTCAGCCAGTAAAGGTTAAATCAAATTAACCATGTGTACTGAATATGTAACGGTTATATTTGCATCAATCGTGGACACTAATTGACTATTTCTGGCTAGTAATGGAAGCAATCCAATGCTAAGGGGAAACGCGATTTTTGTCCGTTGTTCCTGAGTTGGATACCGTTAATAGTCATCATGTTTTACCGCTAGCTCCCCAAGTGATCATTTGCAATTGCTCCGATTATTAAACTTCAGTGAAGCTTAACTAGAGCAATTTCCTGTATTCCTGGACGTCCTGCGTCAGTCGAAAATGAGTTTCCCGACACGAGATCGCCAGAAACGTGAGTTGGTACGTTATTCGTCGTAAGGCGGTGAATGAACATTGGGATCGAATTTTCAATGAGCGTCGCTAACAATGGCGCCTTTGGGGTCCCCTTTGTTTAATGGAATTGTAATGGTTTTTCTTGAAAGTTGACCCAAATTAATTTGTCGAATCCCCATTTGTGATAAATGTAAAATTAAAATATTAAAGGGGCATTTGGACCAGTTGTGGCTATGGGGAGTTGGGGATTTCGATTTCTGACCAAATATAGAAAAACTGTCTGAAAAACTTTCGTGAGCTCGTGCCTTGCACTCCATATGCATCGTGACTCCTGTGTTTAGTCGCTCTATGTACTGACGCAGAAGCATGCTCTAATGACAGGTGTAAACTGGCACGCTTATCAGAGATTCTGGAAAATCCTGCCTGTAGAACTCACCGTCATTATGAAGTCGATCAACTCTATCTCTGACAGTGTGTGTCGACAGTGTCAGTCGAGCGACGAAGGGGTCGGTGTAACGACATTAATTTCATCCAACGTTGAAGCAAAGTAACTGATTTTTACTTTATAATCTGATTTCATGTCAGACGAAATATTACCCGTGCGTCATGGCAGATGATGTCATATATGTTTGATGTAACTTTCCAATGCCACTAACTATGCCAAGGGTGCATAGGGAAAGACCTGTAGGCCTAACATTGTTATAACTTCACACGTTGTGTACATCTGCGCTTTCCTATGGCAAGAAAGGGACATGAAACATTGAGTCCCAATAGAAGAGCGCAAACATAAACAAAGTGTGACGTCAATGTGTTTTATTAATACTGTCTACAACTCACCAGAGTTAAGAGCCAAGGAGTGTAGTAGATGACAACCACGAGAGCCACTGTCTTGGACATTCTGGTACATCTCTTCAGATTCAGGTTTTTCATCATTGTCTGCGTCCGCTCCACCATCTCCTCTCTAGAGGCGGGCTTGGTCTGTTTGACCCAGCAAGAGCTGCAGCAGCAACAGCAGCAGTAGATCCGGCAACGGGCCGTCCAGGTCTCCAGGCGGTCGGTGGTGGTCGACGTCGATACCGTCGGACGAGCGGCGTTATTCCTCCGTCCCACCTCGGAGGAGGACGCACTGCTGCTGGCAGGGCTAGGCACGGGCACAGACTGCGGCTGTCGCCGCTGGATGAATTTCCGAATGGACACCAAGAAGCCGTAGTAGCAGTAGACGAGAAGGGGGATCTGGGGCAGGCTTACTGCTAAAATCACGAAGGTGAAGTTGCTTGAGTACTGGAATGTACAGTAGCCGTGTCGATTTGTTATGGTGGTCCAATTTGTGGAGCTTAATGCCGCAGGAAGGCATCCTATCACGGCTGAGACGATGACCAAAATTGCGACTAACCTTTTCAGTTGGGGACTCCCTAAACGGGTCCGGTATAAGATCGGTCGCCTGATCGCGAGGAAACGGTCGACCGTCATTAGGGACACCACCAAGGTGGAGGCGACCTGGATGGTCGTGGTCAATGCTCCTTGGACCAGACAGAGCTCCACAGGGTAGGGAACGGTCCGGAGATACCAGAACGCCGTCAACGGGAACACGGTGAACGACGAGATGAAGTCGATGATGGCCAAGGCTAAGATGAGGATATCCGGGTTGCTAACCGACCTGAACTTGTGCACGACCAAGATGGTTAGGAAACTGCAGAAGCACACCAGGATTGCAATTACAATGACGACCGCTGCTTGGGCGACATGCTCCGACGAGGGGTCACCTGTCGAGTTGTAAGATGCCCCAACATCCATGGTAGTGCTCTAACTCTGAGACCCTCGTCTCCATGCAGCGTTGGCGTACTATCAGCTTCCTATTCCGCAGGCTTCATTTGAAAGAAAAAGTGTTATCCGTACGACTAACTTTGTACACATCCATACTTGAGTTGGCTACTACGAATTTACATCAAAAAGAGAGTTTCTCTAAAGATGATCTCACACCAGCTTTCGCCCACATCATGGTATCCTTCACACGCCGTATCGTCATCAGAAAAGGTAACTGCCACACTAAAATCTGTATGAATCGGAAGTTTCGCTGGTACTCCGTCACTCGTCGTATGCCTGAGACAAATAACAGGGAAGATGTGACAAGCGAACGTATCCTTACAAGTCGCTGAGAATATCGCATGTGAAGCCATACCCAGGCAGTTGATTGCATCTACATCGATGTGGACATACGGACGTGTCCGTGTGTACAAAAAGGTATAATGTAGGCCTACATGTACAGTACCTGTTGCGGGTTGCGCTGCGTCAATTTTATGCATGCACCGACTTCCCTTGATGAATGACGTGCGGTGTATCGCTCTGAACGATTCTTGGCATGAAATTATGATGATGTCACTGCATGATGGCATCAGGTTAACCGTGTCAAGGTAAGCTGGACAGGCACGAAGGTTCCTCAATTAATTCCAGTCGCTTCTAGTAATACCTGATTTCTCAGTCATGGCAAATTCCACTGTCAGAAGCCCGTTAAATCTCAGTTGTTTTCAGTTTGAGGAGATAACAGACAACAGACGTGCACGTATAATTTTCCCTGACGGATTCAGACTGACAGGCATTTTTTTTCTTCGATGAGATATCCCGAATTCCTAGAAGCACAGTACCTGTTAAGACTGAGGGACACGTAGGCAGTGTTCTCAGACTAAAATTACAACCTGTGAAGAATGAATGGTTCCCATCAGCTCTGGGGCGCTGATTGAAGCTAGAAGTTACATCAACAAAAATCGGCCACGTTCGTTTGGTTGAATTTGTTCGCTCTGCGGACACGACTCGTTGCCGGCTGTAACTGGGTCGCTGGACGGGGCGGGCGGGGGATTTGCTCTCTGTTACAGACTCGACGCGACCACTCAAGGCGTCTTCATCCCGGAGTCACGAAGACCGTATCGTGTTGACTTTTCGATCCCCGCACGTGACTGCTACGTGCCCCGCGAGAGAAGGTTGGTGTATCTCTCCACCGGAACGCGGCCAGCGGTGACGGTTGTTAATCACGGGTACATCAGGAGACCGCGAACTGCTTATCTTGTTCATCAAAACGACTGCAGTGGGGATATCACAGCCGCGTAATATAGACGAATACTGGTGCAAAACTCGAATGAAAGGATGAAAGGTCGATTCGGGTTTGAGCACCTAATAACTTCATCTCATTATCGACTCCTGTGACAGCACGAGTGGACATATAGGCGTATTTCATTTCCTCTTCACATCATTGAAACACGACAGCGTCAAGCTTGTGTCCAGTCCAATATGCTTGGCAGTACAAACTGGCTAATCAGTGGCTTCACTCAAATAGGGCCGCCATCCATACGTTTAACACTGATGTCTTGAAGGCACGGAGTCCCTGACAACACATCATCTCCGATAAACAAAAACAATGTAGCATTCGCGCCTTTTTTACATGTACTAGGATTGTTCCATCTGCTGCACGGGAGACAGACACGTGCATACGGTAGCAATGCACTCTCTTCACTGACTCAACCGTGGATCTTTCCTCTGCGGTTGCTATGCTAACATGAAGATGAGCTTTCCGTGAACTTGTTATGCGCAAATGGAATGCGCAGTTCCACTCCGCGCTGATTTTATAGCGACGATGGCCTGTCAAATAGAAGGGGTTGTTTGTCCACAGTAGTTACAAATTGCCCAGCAAAACACAGAATCTGTTTTTGTTCATTGCTTGCGCAGGTTTGTTTTCGTGTTTTTGTTTTGTGTTGTTTTTTCTCTCTTTATAAATTATAATTTCCTTTGTGAATGTGGACAAAATAATGCTCAGAATAAGTCCTTCGATCTAGTTAAACTTTGCGGCTTTATTTTGATACCATTTAGTTCTTCCAATGTAAAGAAGGAGGGGCAAGACATGGGTTATAATCTACCTGTTGGCTTTTTGCAATTCTGTAGAGCCTTTCCATGTTTCATTTCGGGCAAAATATCGGAATGAAAAATCTCAATTTTCGCACGACACCCCATTTCAGTCTTGACAAACTGTTAAGAATATATCAGACAGTGGGCGCTAGATTTTACCTCAACGAAGGGCGGTTTTCGCTGGACGAATTTTCAACGATGTCAAACAGCAAAAATCCCATGTGAAGAAACATCACCATCATAAAACATGACTGAACTTACGTGAAATAAATATTTCAGGTTACTAAAGCACCATTTCAACATGGCCTATTTTGATACTCCTATAACAAAATAATTGTAACATTAAACGCTGTCAGCTATATTTCAATTCAAAAATGCAGAAAGGGTTTCAGAATAATTATTTTCTCAAATAATTAGAAATTCGTGTTAGTCCTGAATCAAATAATAAATCGAATTCACCGAGTTTTTCTGTCTTTCTGATCTCGCAGCCCTGTGTGGATACAACCAATGAATGTTCAAGAGTGCAGTGGAGTAAGAATAATTATATGATATGACAAATGGAATGTTCCATCGTCCCACGCGGCGGGAAAAGGGCATTTTATCTGTCATCGATTAATTGGTCTCTCCATTGCCCGAATATGAGACATTCTGTGATTTTTACAACGCCTAAATAAATCGTTTGAATCTCCTCGCATCCCCTCGATAAATTTCTGTCTAATAAACCTTACATCACCTGCAAGTTGAGAAATATCTTATTATCATGGAATAGAAAGTTCTATATACCGTTGAATAGAACCTCTGTTTTTTGTGGTGCGGCAGCGTAGTGGCGTTGGGACGAAACGTTGAATAACACGTGATTGAAATGCACCAATCAGGTGACAGGGATTTTTATCTGGCTATGTTTACATAAACAATATCAAATCCTCATTCCTACAATAAACCTATAAAGCAAGTGTATGCTGGCTTTCCGTGACCGTATAGCGACCAATTAGCGCGATGTTCATCGAAGCAATTAATTGACCCAACGCGAGTGGTTGAGGCAAATCAAGTCGCCGCTGGGCCAAATGAAAAGCAGGGTTGGTTGGTGGCATGGGCATTCGACGTCACAGGTCACTTGATGGATTGTGTTATTGTCGCAGCATCCATCGGTCTTCATATTCTTTCCATGCGTGTCAAAATGCAGGTAACTTCTACGTGAGCTGTCATAGCGTAGGGAGTTTAATCTAGCAACTGAGTAATGTACCGTGCTTGATGCCGTGGAGGGTGAGAAGTCATCAATTTTTTAATATAAAATATACATGTACATGTATATAGGAGCACATAACAGGCAAATATACAACAGTTGGGCGGCGTGCCTGCATTTTAAATAAAACAGACGCCATATGTTTCATTCAGGCATAACCGACTCATAACGAAACTATGTTGTGAGTCGATCATCACCGATACGATGATTTAGTTGGTCCTGGGTTTACTTAAAATTGATCTTCAATGTAGTCTAGTTCTTTCCAATTACAGTTGTGTTAATGCGATATGTTTTTACCAATGGGTAAGCTGAGTCCATTTTTATTTCTCTAAAGAAAACAGCACACATGAGGAAAAAAATCTATGATATTGAACTGGAACTACAAACTTTGGAAGCATAACAAGATATCTTTCATTAATTTGAGGTGGTAGTTTTCCGTCTCATCGTCGCGGTATTTGATTCAAGAAAACATTGTCCAAAGGTCACGTTGCGATGTGGAAAGCTATTACGTGCAGCTCGGGAAAACCACCGCAACAGAGTGATCCTACATATGGTCTGCTGTCAAAACAAAAGGTATAGTTCTTACCGCCATCTCGCTTCATTTGGGCCGTCTACGAGCTGGCCCGCCCTTGCCTCACGTCCAATCAATTAGATAAGCTCGGTTGACGGGATACTTATAAACAACCCGTGGAATTAAAGACTCAAAGATCCCCGTAATACGGGCGGAAAAGGTAAACAGTTTTCAGTTTACCCGTTTGCGGAAGGGAGACGGGGAAATTGTTTTCTTTTTTCTGGAGGGGAAAATCAAAACTTCATGAAACCTTAGAAAACTGCGTCGGCGAGAATTGATTTCTCTCGGTAACATCACGGACTTCATATAAAAAGTCTGGACTCACAATGCCCTTGTTCAGCCCACAAAATAGGTCATTGAGGCCATTGACAGCCATCTTACCATGGCGAATACAACGGTAATTACAAAGGCTTTCTTGCCACTGCTAATTAAATCGTCTGTGCCAGCAATGGTAACAATAGCTCGCAAACCAACGACCACTTTGTATTCGGCACGGTAAAATGGCCACCGGTGGCTTCAATCCATACAGAAGTATTGCGAGAGTGGACTTTCTATATAAAGTCCATGGGCGCCGTCAGCATTCGCTTGTCTGGCTGCCTGTTTGGCATTATACGGTTAATGCACACTTTGGGACACTACGTCACAGATCCAGACTATAGATTCGAAATGAGTTTGCCTCAGAGCTGCTCAGCATTATAAAGCATAGAACATTCGCGAGCAAAGTAAATAACACCTACGAGGACCAGGCTTAGAGATGTACACTTCATGACATTTTCGAAATCCTGTCACATTTTTGTTTCAAATAAGCAGATTTATATGTTTTAGTTTGAGGTTGCCAGGGTAGGCCAGCAAGCCGACCCTGGCAGTCTCGGTGGTCAAGTGGTTAAGTGACTCTACTACTGAGTAGGATGTTATGGGTTCGAGTCCCACCCAAGTAAGTTAGTGAACTTTTTCACAAGCTCTGGGACAAACACTGAGCATACAGTGTTATGAATAGACGTCGGTGTAAGGGCAAAACACGTTACTTAAAATTAACATCCCCAACGCAAAGTACATCTTGAAACAGATTGATAATCGTATTTGTTCATTAGAGAGCGTCTCGGGGAGGTTTCTGTGTCGTAGAAGAATCGGGCGACAATGCTAACACCATCACTGGTCCTGTGCGGTGGCCCCTACAAATAATGGTTTGCATTGTAATATGATACCCATTGTACAGAGCCAGTTCTGTGACAGGCGCTCCCCACAAAGCATTGACCAATGTCTACCACCCTTAAAGAGGGCCATAGGGAATGGCTGGTGAAATATCACTTGATTGTGTTTATCCACCTCAAGCAGAAGCGCCCCCTCATCTGGCCGAGAGTGTTCAGTTTGGTTGCAGCGATGAGACGTTGACACGTGCAAGGGACGCTTGGACTTCCGACCAAGGGAGCCGCCATTGCTAAGCAAATACCGCCATCTCTTAATCCAGTTCAAGGCCCATTGCCAGCCGTTATCAGGTTAATCGGACACAGCCTATCTAGTAAATAGGAAACTGAAGGCTGAACGCGCGTCGTCGTCAATGCTAGTCCATTAAGGCGCACCAGTCATGCGTGCAAAGAAAGCTTTTTCAAGAACTGAAAGAAGGTAGCTGTTACCATCTAACGACAGAGCATCCGCCACTTGACAGTCTTGACAATCAGATAGAAATTTCCTTCCTTACCTTTCAACTGTTAAATTGTGGTTACCATTTTCTGTACTCTTTGAGTCTAAGGCTCCTGCATATATAATGTCAGAACTCTTGTTTTTAACTTATGATTTTTAAAGTTCTTTGCAGCAAGACTCATGAGACAGTTTTTCTATCGAAGATGTAAGCGATGATCGCATGCAAACGTTCACCAACTTTATCTCAGAGACCGTGTCCGAATCAATGGGCCGCAGCAGGCTGACAATAACACGCATCTTCTATGGAAGCCGTCAACCGTGTATTTCATAGTCTCGTTCAGTGTAACCAGCTTTGCCAAGTGAGAAGTGAAGGCCGTTTACGAACCGGGCTGCAAGAGCCACTGCTAGATGTCCAGCGGATTTGCTCAGCGTGTGCGAAGACACAGACCTAGCTCCAGGCAACATATTCGGATGCGGCCTGAAGCATGGTTGATAAATATTTGTTTGAAGTTTGCTCTGAGGTTGAAATTACCCTTCTTTTGGAGTCCCGTCAACCTAGCCTTTGAAATCGTCTTTTTTACGTGGAATACAAATAGTAAAATCAGGGTTCAAGTTTGTTTGACACTGCATTCATAATCAATCTTTTATCCAAGCTGAGAAACATTAACTTGGAAATAATGGATGGGGCCCAAAGCTTGCAGTGCCCCCTTAATAAACACAAAATTCCAGGTATATGTATTTCTCACAGCATTTAACCGAAGCGTGGTATATAAACAAGGGCTTGTCGATCGTGTAGCTTCACATCATGGCGGTACGTGAATATTTATTTGGGGTTCGGTAGCCAAAACCAACCCCTTAGTTTTGCATTTCAGTTTATAATGGAGCTGGACATAACTTTCATTTTTCGGTATTTTTCTACTGTGGACCAATGACAAAGAAATAAAATATTTATTGCTTGGAATGTGCACAAAATAGTCGGTCTTCAGTAGAAACGTATAGCTGCATATTGACTAATAAGTGATGTTAACATTCAGTAATTATGGTGTGACGTATAGGTTAACTATACCAGCTTTTTACTTCATTTCTGTCGAAATACCCCTCAGTATTTGGAGCCAGAGGCAGGAATGCATCCAGCTTTGTATCAAGGTCGCAGTGGCGTTCATGTGCTGGAAATCGGAGATGGGGTGGGATGACTCGCCCGACCATGGAAATTTGAAAAGCGTGGGGCGGGGGCTGACACCGTGAGACACTATATAGAGAGCAATGTTCATGATACAAGATGTACGCTTGTAATATGTGACATTCCTGCAGAATCTTACACCAGAACCCCTAAGTTCACTCCCGTGACTTTGTGCACCACTTAGCTGAGAGTTTATTTGCATGCCCACTCGATCACTTTACTGTGGATTTCGAGACAGGCGACGTGGGACACCGTTCCGACACGTCTTTCCACGGATGGAGACCATAATTTATTCAAACAAACTACAAACAAATAAAATTCACGGAGATAACCCAATAACTAAAGATTGATTAGACAACATTATGTCACCGTATTATGAACCCAGTTGCACAAAATTTGAAACAAATTCTGAAAAAGTGATCTTTGAAAAAAATGAACACGATCAGATTTGAAAGAAAATACATCAACGGTCCTCCTCGTTTTAAAACCCGTTCTCCAGTTTATCCAAACAAACGAAATAAAGACCCGATAAAAACGTCGGTAGTATTTTCAAGTTACTGCGAATTGAATATTTTGAACGGGAATCGTTTGTCCATGGCAGTGCATGTATGCGTGCGTTGATGAATTACATGTACATGTACACATAGGCCCTGCATGTACGTGCCCGTGTGCACACATAAATCATGGCCTACCGTCAATCGACAGAGAGCCGAAAATGAAATTGATAAAACTTACGAAGGACAATTTGCAATAGCTTCAACATACCATAGTATCCTTTTTTCGATTTATTAAGATATGCAGCATGTGTGGAAAAACCCGGAGAACAATTCCAAATTTCCATTTTAAAATGCTCTCTTTACGTTCGGAAATATGACGTACACAAGCATCTTTCCCCCGGTTTCTCCCAAATGTCATACAAGAAACGCATCACAAAATGAAATCTGAAGCCTGATTACGTGCATATTTCTCTCAGCAAACGTTTCCACAATGCGGAATATTTCCGCGGATGGATTTTGGTATAGTCGTTTGCTGGCTAGCGTGGCCATTATAACAAGCAACAGAAAGTGACCTCGACTTTGCTGAATAGCGCATGCGCACAAACTAAGTGGAAGGGGTGAAAATACGCGAGAACAGGTTATACATGTATTTGACCTTTTATATTGTTCTCCCATTTTGAGTGATATTGAATACATTTTGGTTGATGGGAAATCCGAAAAATTCTTCACCATCCACTTTATATTTTCTCACCAACAAGAAAGTGGGGGACAGTTCAGTAGTTCATTCCCTGGTCAAAAAAATGGGGGATAATACCCCCATCCCGAGATTTACGACCATGATAGGTAGCAAGGGCCTTTTACTACAGCTCTACGCCAGTTGAAGCCCCTTGTTATTTACATGTTCTTAAAGTAATGTGTGTATTCTTGAACTATTCCATCTACATGGCTGAGGATACATCGGGATGGACCGGCGTGGCCTCTACAGGGGTTACTTATTAATTAGCAAATTTGGAAGAATTTTACAACCTCCCAAAAGGATTTTTTTTTTCATTACAATATGATGCTCCTTACCAGTTGACTTGTGCACCGCGTTAGAATCACCACAGTAAGTCTACGATGAGTTTATCTTTATACCTTCTCAATCTGTTATTGTAATCGTTTTCCACGATTGAGTTCACCATAATATCGCTGCCGGGATGATTGCAAACAAACCGGAAGACACTAAAGCCGCAAGAAGTCACGGGAAAAGGGGCACAAAGGAATCAACAACAACGCCCACTTCCGATACAACGTCCTCTCCGATCCGGAGGCCACACAAGATGGCTGCCAGTATCAACAAAATGTCAACCAAAAGTTTGGAAAGATCATTCCCATCCCTCGGCATTTAGGTTGATAGCTCTTGAAGGCAAGTTCCACGAAATGACGTCAAAGGGAGATGCTAACGGAAAGGCCACCTCCGATCTGAAAACTACAGTGGAATTGCCAAAAGGAAAACCTGGGGAATCGGGTGGCAATGAACAACAACAGATGCGACGATATCTACCCGTCACACCGACTTACAGACCAGATTGAATATCTAACGGTACTCAACCGCAAGCCCAGCAAAACAATATCATCATTCAACGATGTTGACGGGGCACTAAGGAGAACAAGACCTGTGAGGAATTTATGCCTGATTTCTTTGCAATTGAAACTCGAAGATGTGGAGATTGAACGGGCCCATCGAAACCCAGCAGCACATGGACTGCCCAACCAAGGCACATCTCCAACCAGACTCAGATGGTCAACGACCTAGATCAATCCATTGTTAAATTAAGCTACTGCGCTATTAGCCCCGTCAGCAACCTAGAGAGGGCATAATTTTTCTAGCAACGGGGGCTCGTGATGTAGGAACCGCGCTTCGGTGGTTTACAGACGACTATGACGTGCACACATTATGTTAGCGCCGCTACCTGAAAAATGAACATGCACTTCCCACCAAGTTGGCTGTTTTCAACCGACGAGGGGGTGCTTCTGCTCGAGGCAGACAAATGACAAGCAGTTCATCTTAAAATGTAGGGTAAGGACAAAAATTCAACAATCCACACATCAGATAATGGTAAAACTAGGGTCTAGAATTTCCGTAAATTTATTCCCCTATTTTAATCAATCCGGAGGAAGAATTATCTATATCAAAACAAAATTTCCAAATGTTTTAACTGTTTATATTATTTATACCGTGTTTTAAAAGAACTTCAGTCCTTTGATCAGAATATTATCAAGGAAGTATCTTTATAAGACGCTTGACCTGGAAAAGAGTAATGTACATGTAAAGGAATATGGAGTTTAATCAATTCTTTTAATAAATAAATAAAGGAAAGCCGAAATCCAACCAAACCTTTGTCATAAAAGAAGTCAGTGTGACAGTAGATGAAAACAAGGAATTCCTGATGCGTTCAACAGGATTTTGTTAGTATTGTTACTAATCTTGCAAAAATAAGCTTCCAACTCTAAAACCTACTTGGGACTCTTTCCTTGTTGATAGGCTTACACAAGAGGAAATTGTAGATGCCTTCAATGAAGTTTCTGTCTGCTCCTTGATTTATTCGCCTTAAACGATACTGCTGTTTGTCTGCCATTGTACCTTGTTAGCGCGTTGTAGATGAAGAGTGTTTAAAATGTCCAACGGGTCAATGTACAAAAGCGCTCGCTTTAATCTAATCCAAGAGTTATGTTTACAATGTATTATGTTGTTCTGTTTATATAAACTTTACAGTTTTGTCTTTGTGCTGTAAATACAGTACTTGTCCACGTGATAAAGCAAACTCCCATGTAAAGTTCCATGGTGGCTCGGATTATTCAGTAGGCCCGGCAGGCACTATGGCAACGACCTACGAAAGGCTTGGGAGCCCATATAGGACGGGTCTGAGGATCCTCCAAATTACTGTTCAGAAATTGCCACTAATTACAAACAGATCTATCTCTATGGGTATTCTTTTTTTGGGGGGGAGCTTCAAATTAGCTTTGTCCATTAGCTTACTCCAGTTTAGCTTCAACACGAAATGCAAAGCTCCGTGTTGTCAAGCACTCTGAACATGGGGCCTGTATGAGTGATATTGCCTAGGGCCTACGAAACACAATAGTGTCCATTTAGTGACTACAAAATTGGACCCTGGCTCCACGTATCAGAAGTAAGCAATGCTCGGCTTATTTAGCGTCCTATGTGGCGATGATTTTTGTCAGCTACATTTGGGAGCGTACCGCAGAGCACAGTGTTTTATTTCATGCTCCCTACAGCTCACGTTCAACACCGAACGATCCTAGTGCCTATCAAACGATTTTCTCAGGATAAAGGGAGAGAGTCCATCTGTCTCAGCCAGACAAGGCGTCCCTTTACAAGCGTTATCATGATAAGCTGTGTAGGGACACCAGGATCGACGGGGCTGCTGAAATTAGGGTTCCTGTGATAACATTTTTCCTTGAGGCACTGTCTGTGTAACTTTGTGCTTTCCGTTATTGTATGAAGACCGTTTCATTCGGGTATTACGTGTACTTGAAAGTGTACTTTTTAAACATGCTGAACAACCTTAGACATTTGTTCTTATGTCGTGTAAGACGCTGTTTAGATTGTACATGATTTTTGGTTAAACTATAAATCCAACATTTGATCGCTGAGAACATTCCTGAGAGGTCTTCCTCGTTGGCTTATTGCCATGTGCGAACGCAACAAAGAAATGGAAATTTAGGACAGTAAAGTGTCAACATTTCGTGCAGTTTTTCTATACAACAAAAAATCAACGATACGTGGAGGTTTTCTCTCCAGAATAGCAACACAGTTTTGCTCATGAAGATGGAAATTCCAATCAAAAATATGAAATAAGATTAATTGGAACACACCAAAAAAATGGATTTTTCAGGATTGTACTAAAAACTCACTGCATAGTGGGAAACTGTACAGCTTGTCTTTTTGTGGTTATTACTCGATTGAAGCTTCAATTAGGGACTGACCGATGGGCTGAATTTTTGGCATCAGTTTCCCGAATGCTTGCAGACAACAAACCAACCAAGATCAAGCAAGGGCCCCGGGTGGATTAAGCCGCCTGCCAGGATGGCCGGGGTCCCCAACGGCCTGGAGTACCTGGCTGAGGTAGACCAACTCCTGGTCCAACAGCAGATTGAGCTGTTCGAGGCGCTGACCAGCATAGAGACACGGAACAGATAAGCCATCAAGAACACCATGGGGCAGCAGGTGTACTTTGCCTACGAGGGTAGGGCGTATTCTCACCCGGCACGTTTCTAACACGCTCTGGCTGAAACAAAGTTTCCGACATTCAATAATATCTGCTCCCAATGTCCACTATGGGTATAGTATATTGCCAAAATATGTGTTTGGTCAAGGTTACATTCTTTAAGGGCAGAAAGACAACCATGTCCAGTCAGTTTATATGAAATCACTAAGGTGCGTATGTGTATGAACTTAACAATTTATGAATGATATAAACCTGTCGAACTAAACCTCGTTAACATTTTACAAGGATTAATTCTGCGGATCTGCTTACCAGGGAAATAAGTCGATGTGTTTATCAGGAATCGGATGAATACACGTTTTGGCTTGTAACCTTTACTTGCTAAGCGCAGTATTTTTTTAATTTCTTTGCATTCAAACCAACTTAAAACAAAAGCACACACTAGTCTGTAAGGATAATTTGGGGTCTACGGTTTGGGCAGAAGGTTTACATACACTTTGTAGAAAAACAACTTTCCTTAATTTTTCGCTGTTTGAAATGATTTTGCCAACTTTTTCTTTACGGGGCAAGACAAGCTGTATCCCAACTTCATGTTCATAGTGTGTACTTCAATTGAAAATACTCAGAGACATTTATTATGGTTCAAAATTTACTATTTCTGAAAAATCATTTTGTAAACTTTACATCTACCCCTTTATTGTCGTTCAAAAACACTTCAGAAAGAGGTCCACTGCGACTGTGAGATGTGACAAAAAATACAGAAAGTGGCACTAAATATTTGGGCTGGAGTATGTAAAATTTTAATATTTTTTGTAGAAATAAATATGAATCATATATTATGTCTCTGTGTGGTTTATTTGACGCATAAAACATGCACACTAAGTGGAGACCCATCTTGTCTGTCCAAATGAAAAGAAGGGTTGGTAGGAATTGGACCGTGAAGTTGTGAAATTCGAGGAAACCTGTTTTTGCTCTACCAACCTTATAACTTTTGGCCCACTTGTGTGTTACCATAAAGCCAATAAATACAGTTCTCTTTGACAAATTTCTTTCAGAAACTGGGTTTTGGATGCGAGTCTGCTGTCAGAGTGGAAGGGGCTTCTTTCTGCATATCCGGAACAATTTTGGCCAGGTGAGTTGCGCTAATGAAGGCACCCGGGACCATTTTCCAGCCAAGAACCGCTAGGGGCAAACAGCAATACATGTAATCTTATCTTCTATCTTCTGAAATTCATACACATGCATCTGAGGTGTCGACCGTCTATCCTTTCAGGAGGTGATTCGTGTCGAACGACAGTTCAAGTGCATGGCTGGCGGTTGCTGGCTGGCCAATCTTGACTGCTGCTCGTGGGAGGTTACTGTAGAGTCTCCGCCTGGCAACCCCACTGGACGCGTCAAGCAGGGGTGAGTAGAAACCACAGCTCTATACAGAGACAGTGGCACCAACGTCAGGTGTGGAACCAAAATGGCTGCTGAGTGTGGTAATTTTTCATGTGCACTAACGCATAGCCATCATTTTGGTTCTAACAATTGAGACACTCATGTTGAAAATCTCTCAACAAATAGCTCTGGCAGATAGTAACACGTAGTCTCAACTCAAGGCCGTTATTGAAAGTTTTTTTCAGAGCACTTGCACTGCAGTTATAGTGTTGAGTGACAAAGGCCAGTGTTTGACTGACTGCAGCGTTACAGTTAATGGTTTCGGTCTACACTTCTGTTGCAGCTAAAAGAAGACATTTTATCCGTTCATCTAAAGAGACACAGGCTGTACACGGCTTGGGATAATGTTGCTCTTTTCGTATCCATTTATGTGTTGATTTCATCGAGCAAACAATACTACATCGAGAAGTTCGAGCCGAAACGGTAACACGTGAACAAAAGTTCGCCACACACTGTCTTCTGGTATTTTTGCAAGATAAAATACGAGCCGCGTAAGTGTTCCTTTGGAGAGACTGTTGTCCTTTAGCGCTTTTCTTTGATGCGGTATGACATTTGAGGGAACATTTCCACGAAGTGTTTGTGGTAGAGCAATGAGATATTGCAGTACTACTTCCATCGAAAATTGGGGGGGGGCACTTATTCCGAAACTGATACTCTGCCCTCACGGTCAGTCGGCATGGAAACCATACTTTGACATCATCGACGCTGGCAACAACACCGTGCTGAAAATCGGCAGTCCCTGCTGCTCGTGTCAGCAAGTCTGCTGTCGGTCAGACGTCGATTTCAACGTGAGTGGAATTTGGGGTTTTGTGACAATCTTTCATAGGTGGCTGTGCACGTTGCATCAACGAGGAACTTAGGTTAAGGGTACAAGGATACAAATGGATTCAAGATGGGAGCAACTACCGCATCTTTCCCTGTTTCTGTCTCCAACTTGGTTATTTTTCAAATTTGGATTTCAATGACATCAATTTTATTTTATAAGACTACTTTTGGTAAGTGGCGTAAATTTATGCCGGAAAGTGAGGAGATGGGGATGGGAAAAGGTAGGAGGGTGACCTGAAACTTTCACAAACGGGGGAGGGGGGACACAATATGACTCTATAAAGAGGTCGATGTTCATGATATTAATGTATATCTGTGATAAGTATTCAAATGGCATATTTATGGTTTTTTAATTCGTTTTCCCTTATTTTAGTGATACTGAATGTAGGCCTATTTCAATCAATGTAAGTTGAAACATTCTTCACAATTCACTTTTTTTTTTGTTCACCACAAAAAAGTGTGTGGGGGCTGTGAGTTTGTTTCTGTGTGTTGGTGTGTGTGTGGGGGGGTCGATTCAATAGCCCATCCCCAACTCAAAAAGTGGGGGGGGTATATACCCCATATATTATGCCCATGCTTTTAGTATGCTAGAGAAATGCATGAAAGGTACACAAATGTTAATTTATTCGCTTCTTGGGTGTCTAATTACTGATAAAGTTGAAGGATATATGTAAGTTCTTTAACTGAAGAGTTTGCAAATAGCAATCTGTTTTATTGCCTGAAGCACAATTCTCATGGGAGGGATTACGACTATATTATTTAAAATGTCAACTATCAGATGTGTAACTGTAAAGTTGAAAGAGAATACCCCAAGCAGACCTTGACATTTTAATAGAAACTTTAGCATGCTAGCAATTCTAATGTTGTGAAATTCGTATTTCAGTTCAATTCAGAATTAAGGCTGCTTCACACTTTAGGCGCATTGCGTAAGCGAAGCGAATTTGACGCGTCACTAAAAATTTGCAGCAAACTTTCGCTTGAGTTCAAACGTGTTCACAAGTTTTACGAATTCGCAACGCGGACATTTCATCTGGCATCACAAAATCGCGTTCGTGTTCGCTTTTGCACAAAGTATGAACCGGCCTGTTTTCAATATTCTTTTTACTAGTTAAATTTGAATAAAATCTGGTACACTGGGTTCTTTAAAATTCAAGTGAGCATAAGAATTGGAATTCTCCATACTAAAGCCACTGTTGCTATACCTCAGGATTCGGTGCAAGCTTTTCCTTATTTACATAAGATACGCCTTGTAACAATGCACTGTTCTAGATGGCAAAGAAGGGCACAACGGAACTAGTCCAGTCCAGAGATGGTGGTCGCCATGCAAAAGCTTACCCCAAATCACGAGGTATAGCAACAGTGTCTTTAGTCTGGGGAATTCAAATTGCTATGTTATGTGCAATCAGGTAACTATCAGTGTACCAGATTTTATTCAAATTTCACTCGCAAATGGCTCATTGGATGCCAATAACAGAAAAGCGTGAGTAGAATGACCACGCCAGAGAGGCGGTGTTATCTTGTACACTAACTGTAGGTGTTTCCAGCGGAGGGAGGGATCGAGGTTGGCAAGGTCACCAAACAGTGGGGTGGAATTGTCAGGGAATACCTGACCCAGGTCCGCCTGGGTCAGGTATTCCCTGACAATTTCGGCGTGTCTTGTAAGAAAACTGATTGTTCTGTACGCATATTTCAACATTGAAGAATAACAAACTGCTCTGACTTTGGGATATGCCGTTTTGAACACTTGAAAGGATTGTGCACTGCGTGTGAGAGGGATAAACGCGTGCCGGCGAGTAGAGGAGATGGGGGTATCCATTATCCTATCATTGCCCTGCCATGGAAATCCGCAACGCGGGAGGGGGAGCCGGACACAAAATAACACCGCACGAGGGCGCTCTTGATGATTCTGACATTTTTATGAGCACGAATTATTCTTTCGGGTTTCACTGTCTTTGTTGCAAAGATTCGTGAAATTTTGATGAAATTTTGACAACACTTGTAATTTTTGTTGCCAAGTAACAATGAAGTTCGGAAGCTTTGGGTTTTTTTATGTACCACAGTTCCTCAAGATTTGGATGTGAAAATTAAGGCATTGATGATAGCGGTTCCGTTAATGGTCGTAAGGAGAACAAGCTTTTCCGTCTTTTGGTAATTTTTTTTTTTGGAAAGCTTTTTAGATACCTGAAAGGTATAATTCGAAATTTAACCTCCAGGCTTACGAGTCCTGGTTTCCGAGACTTTTATGAATTTCGTATTTAATTCCTTGTTTTGCTCTGAACGAAAAAAATTGGTTATGCCTGGACCTTTCGCAAACGTTAAATTTAATCGATCCATGCTGTGCTATTGTATTCGATTCCGCACTGGCTTGCGTTTCCCTTGCTAGCCGATTCATTCTGTTCATGTCTCAGCAGGCCTACAAAGCACAGCAAGATCGAACGATAACTATTCGTCGACATGGTTCCCAGAGTACAGTTAAGGCATAGGTTACCAAGGAAAACTGATCAGTACCTAACAAGTGTTCGTCGCTCGAACCTGTCCATAGTCGTCCTCTAAATTGCGCCCTCTGTTGATCAAATACGTTAAAAGGCTTCAGGGTACAGTCCACTAATTCAAGCCCCATTGGTGACTAGGCCCTAAAGTTCTGCAGTGCATGTGCATTTCGTTCTTTTTCAAATCTTTCCTCCTGCAGGATTACATGTACTTTGAGATGGATTCTAACTCATCTTAGCCGCATCGTTGGTATGAAGGTCAGAGTGAGACCTTCACCTCATTGGCAACGATTCGTTTGAAGTATCCATAAGAGGCATTGCTTTCCGAGGGAGAAGTTTTCTGAGTCCGAATAAAAATAAAACACAATGTTCTTGAAAATGTCAAATTTTAAAAAAAATTGGCTGATTACACACTTGGTAATTTTAAAGAAACTAATTGACGTTTTCTGGTTAAGTTTTCCTTTTGTTCAGTTCTGTGCATTTCCTCGATTTATGGGACCGAAAAAAGGAGCATTGTTAACAGAAATGGAATGGCTTTGGAGTTTTTCATCTGTAGGCCTGCCAATGTTTAGGTTCAAAATGTGAAATTTCTTGGCAATGTTCCTTCGTAATTTTGACCTCTGTTGCCTGTAATCTGTGACAATATAGTGACCGATAAAGATTCATTGTATTTGAACAGAATTTAGAGGGCCCTCGTGTGCTGCCCGGTTTCCACGTATTGGGTAACCTCGACAGGTGAACTTATGAAAAATGAACCTGGAAAGAATGGGATTACATTCGTTTTGTAAATAACTTCCACAGAATCATACCTCTGCTTACAGAAGACAGTATGTAGCTAGCGACAGATACTTAGCCAAAGTGTCTGCAGATACAAGAAAAATCGGCTCTCAGAAATGTTAAACAGTAAAAAGGTGCTTAGAACTTGAGTAAATGCTGAAAAACTTTGAGTATTTACTTTTAAAACGTTTCCCACACGACATGTTTATAGACATTTGCATTGAAATACATTGAGGAACGTGTTTTAATTAATGGTAAAAGTATTTAAATGCTGTGTGGATTTCACAGAGTTTGTCGTGGAAAAGTATTTAGCATTTAAACACACTCCTAAACGCATTGCATGGGTTGAACGTACTTTAAAAAGTGGTTACAAAAACAGTTTAAACCCTGAGCGCCATTTTAATGGTATATTGGAGCAACAGTGATTATATTACTCGTCGAAACGGTTTCAAATATCATGTAGAATGAGGGTAAATGGACGCTTTGTGCGCCCTCTGCAGTTATGAAAAACGCCAGCATAGCAGATGCATACCTGAAGATTATAAATACTGAACATTTGTTGAATTGAAGCATGTTTTAAGAAGACACATCGGAGTTGGCAAGCGTTCAATCAAATTTGAGAGAGTTTTTTTTTCAGGGCGTAAAATGACAGATAGCCTCGTATTCCCAGGCGAATAGCGTTAGATTTTGTTGCGGATTTTGGTTGTTTTTTTTCTTGTTAAGCTGGATTGTTCTTGGATTATTAAGTAAGATGACTTTCTGATTGTTGAATAGTATTTAGTATTTGGTGCGGCTACCGACGCAATTGTATTGATGTATCATGACTTATTACAGGTTTTTTTACCACATGTATAGGTGTAGATGACTATCGTCAAGAAGTAATCGTTCTTCCCAGTAAAGCACAAACACAGGTCTGACTTCCTAATTTGTGGCAAGTTTATTGTCTCACACGCGGTAGCAAATAAACATTCTTTTTACTCTTATTTGCTATCCAATTTTTCAAGGTAAATCAAAAGTTGTTGAAGGCTGACATGTCACATACTTGTTTTCTTTTTGTTAAATATGTGGTGTAATTGCTAGAGAACAATACCAGTTCCTTCGTCCTGCTTGATATAGCGCCACCGTTTGACAGATTATCAGCACCTCAGTGGCGTACTACTAAAACCAAGTTTAAAAATAACTGTTTGTTTCAATATTATGCAGCATGATTTAATTGCACAGAAATAACTGAAGCTTAAATTCGTCCTATTTCAGCTTTGTGTTTTTCCTCTAAACGGAACTTACAGGGTTCTGCCTTTATAGGCTATACGTTATGTAAATCTCTAGCTTTTACGTCCTTTGTGTATCGGTCTTTGAATACAAAATGTACAGTAAATCCTGCAATCGAAAATGTCTTTGTACAACATCTTATACATATACAAAGTTGTGTCCTCATTTTCAAAATAAACGACAGAGAATCCTCCCGATTGACTTCAGTGTGTGGGTATAGCTTTTCATCTTAGATCGTTGGTGACATAAACGAAAGACACCTTTCCACGCTTATTTTTTTTTCGGGGGGAGGGTCCACTCCGTGTCCGCATCCCTTTGCCGCGTTGCACTCTACAATTTCAGTGAAATCTCTCCGTAGCTTATGCACAGGGAGTCAAGACGCACAGAGAACGCGATTGAATTACGGGAAGACGCCTTGAACAGACACTATGCCCTAACGGTTCCATATGCAGAACAATTAAGGGGGGAAATACATGAAATAGATAGACTTAAAGACCTAAGTCTGGAAAAAGTTATCTCTTCGTTGGCAACGAATTTTGTTTCAAAATGACTATTGCTTTTTACTTGCCTGGAGACACTCTGAATTTAGAAACTTTATCATTTTCTGTTTTTTTAAATAACAGTTGCGTGAGATTTTTGGACACTTTGTGAATTGTTCTTTTGGTGTTTTTTTCTCTAATTTATTTATGTAATATTATTTATCATATTATTTTCACATTATTCATTATTAGGGTAAGCTTCGATCAGTGCACGGCACTGCGTTCCCAGGAGGCCCTCAGATTTACAACGTGAGTCGAAGGCTTACAGCAAGGGCGACTCTGGCAACGGTCACACGGCCCACATCCATAGAGAGGAGTATTGAGAAGCAGTTACAGTTTGAGAAGTGGGCGGAAAACCCCAGGAGAATATTCTGGGTAAAACCCACGGAATCAGGTAGGGACTGAAAACTCAATTCACATGTAGACCTAGCCGGGCCGCACGTTGGAAGGCGAGGACAGAACCACTGAGCCAACCTGACTCCATCACGGCCTCAACTGCCTGGTTAGCAAATTCTGCACTTGTATAACTTTCAAGAAAATGGTGTATTTTCATTCCTGTGGTTTTCGCCAAAAATATGGGAATATAGACCTTTCTTTCCCCTACTTCACAAGCACAGTTTCAACCAATGGTACTGAGTATTAACGCAAAAGGAAAAATTTACAGAGTGTTTAAATATTCTCATGTTTGATACCGGTACTGTAATAATGAATACGTCGACCAAATAAGCATAAAGATGCTTCGCATGTTTACACCAATGAAGCAAAACGTTCCTTTTGAGGCAGACATTGCTGACAAGGAAGGTTGAACTTTGTGCAAACTTTGGCCACCTATAGAAAATGGCCGTCAATGTTTGTATTGCAAACAAAAGAATGGTTATTATTGTTCTTATATCTATCATTTCTGTATTGTACAGGAAACGCAAAGCTTGGGGCTGACCGCACGCCATCGTCAATGCACTGCTAGGCACACCTGTCGTGCGTGCAGCTAAAGTGTTTTGTCATCCTTGGTCAAAAGACTTTAAATTCTTCACAGAGACCAGAAAGGAAAAATTGGTTACTATGGCGACGGAGTGTCCCATCCCTACCTCATTTCATCCATTTATTTGTTGTTAACCTTGTCTGTGTTTTTGTTTTTAGGTTTTTTAATCTGCAACTTTGTACGATAAGTATAGCAGCATGACCCACGAGGCAGGGTTTTTTTTTTTTTTTTTAATTAGACATGTACTAAAGCGATAATTATAGCGTGCAAAAACTCACCAGCTTCGCCTCACAAGTCACGTCGACGTCCAAATCAGTGGGCCATGGCTGAAATTTGCACGCACCTATATGGAAGCCGTGAACCAACGGCTTCATGCATTTCATATTGTCCCTTCGGTGTGTCCAGCATTGCCAGGTGTAAGCCTTTTTGTGCGGCATGGCTAAACTGGGGTCGTTTGACGGCGATTGATTCATAATCTCTCCGTTATCGAAGCTCAGTAATATTAACTCGGGAATAATGAGGAGGTGGTCCAAGGTTCGTTTTGCCAAGAAATAGACGTGCGACATCGGCAGGGATTTCTAGCTGCATTTAAGGAAAGCGTTCAGTATTGTTGTTGACGCACGATAAACATAGGCTTGGCGTTCGTGTAGCTCCACATCATGGCGGTAGGTCAGCGTTTTATTTTGGGGTTAAATAGCAAAATGAAGCACTTTATTTTGCGCGTAATTCATTCTGTTGCTAAATGTAGTTTCGATTCTTCATGACTTTGAAGTAGACTATTTTCGACGTTTCTGACAGCGTCCTCTGTTCCTCTTGGACACAATGAGAAAACTCTCACTACCGATTCTTTTCAGCGCTACATCGCACATCTTCAAAGAAGCGATACATGGTTGTAGGCGAAAGTTGTCACCTATGTTTTTATCACACCGTGAAAAGCTTCAAAATAAACCTTCATTTTGTTTTTTCTCCTTGCAAAAGATGACAAAAGCAGGATTTATTGTTTGGTATGTTCAGAATATTGTCTGTCTATCTACACGAAACTGTTTATCACGCACCCCAAAGCTATCAATTCTAGCGAGAATGGAAGAAAGGCTTCTAGTAGACTCGTGCTTCGGTTGCCAGGTCCCTAGTGACTGGCCGATCACTCCTTTTTCTAACTAGCCTCAGTGCTAAATTGACGATCTTATCAGAGTGCTGGATACTATGCTCCCTCAAGCTCGTGTTCAAAAACCCCAAAGCAACATCTGTCGAGACTTTTGCGTGGATCAGGTACCGGGTACACGTAAAAGATCAGCTTTAACACCAGTGTTATCATCAGTATAGATTGTGTAGAAACACTGGGGTTGACGGAGCTAATCATTAAAGAGTCCAGGCAGTGAATATTTCTTGAACGCACTTAATCTGCAGTTTGACGTCCCCTTGGGGGTCGAGTGTATTGGAAAGTGCGCGTTCTCAAACATTAAAAATTGTCAATATATTTCTGGACAACTGAGGACACTGATGCTCGACTGGAGCCATCATGACTGACCGACCGACCGACCGACCGAATAGTAACATCATTTCCTGGATACTTGCAGACAACACAGCAGCCAGAACCAAGCAAGGGGCCCGGATGGATGGAGCCGCCCGCCAAAATCGACGGGGTCCCCAACGGCCTGGAGTACTTGACAGAGATAGACCAACTCCTGATCCACCAGCAGATCGAAGTTTTCGAGGCGCTGACCAACATAGAGACCAAGAACCGATACGCTGTCAAAAACACCATGGGGCAGCAGGTGTTCTTTGCCTACGAGGGTAGGGCTAATTCCCACCCTGTATATTTTCTTAGTCACTGGCTGAATAAAGTTCGGCATTCAGTAATGTCTGCACTCAATCACGGTCCACCTTGGGCCTACCTCGGGCCTACCTCGGTAACTGAAGATTTTCGCAGAAAAACGTTAAGTCGGGGCAGTTAACATGAAATCACAACCTGTGGGTGAAACGAAGCTGTTGAAAATAAGGCAATTTGAAACAAGATAGACTTCATTAACATTACGCGGTGCTTGATTCGACGAAAATATTTGCTTAGAGAGTCGATTGATGTGTTTATCAAGAATTGGAAGAAAACCAGCTTTGGGTGGTAACTTGTATTTGCAGAGCAAACAATGATTTTCTCTTCTTATCGATTTCGCCCATTAAAACAAAATTAAAGAGCAAATAATGAGTGCAGCAAGATTTTGAAGATTAACCTTGACTTCACCCATAAGAAGTGCTTTTGCAAGGCCGTAAACCTGCCTTTTCTTCGACCTTACATTCGTACAGAATCAGGTGTTTGGATGCGGGTTTGCTGCCAGAGTGAGAGGGGTTTCGTTCTGCACGTTGTGGACAATTTTGGTCAGGTGAGTGGTCCTTAATGAAGGCATTTAGAACCATTCTCAGCCGTTAACTGTTTGTGTCACACAGCAATACATGCACTTCTATATCTGCTGCCTTCTGACATAATTGCGCATGCGTCAATTTATAGATCATAATCATTATGTACTACCTGGACCGTTCGACACGGTTACAGCGCATAGAATTACAATCTGTGAAAATCTGAATGGGAGACTTTGAGACGCTTGGTGGCGACAAACATGCCGGTCCTTTTTACCAGTTCTGAGTATGCGTGCGTTGTTTTGAGCATGCGTGCATAATTCTGAGCACGCGCAATACCTAGAAAAAAGACAGGCATGTCTGCTGCCACCAGCTTTTCAAAGTCCCCCATTGAGAAGAAGTCCCAGCCAATGAGTTGCATTTCTGAGGGTCCGACTGTTTATGTCTTCAGGAGGTTATTCGTATCGAACGACCGTTCAAGTGCTGGGCTGGCTGTTGCTGGTGCGCAAACGTCGACTGCTGCTCGTGGGAAGTTAATGTGGAGTCTCCGCCTGGCTACCGCATAGGACGTATAAGGCAGTGGTGAGTTAGTCTCGACTCAAGGCTTTCATTTCATCAAGGCTTTGGGCGGATCCAAAAAAATGGAAAAGATGGGAGAACAAAAACAGGGGTCATACCTCCTGAAATTGCATCACTGTGCGACTAGAATACAAAATAGCTCCAGACCCCACGCCCTACGGGGTTTTTACCATAACTGCTTTAGTTCAACCCCCCCCCCCCTTTGGAAAATCGAGATCACGCCCCCCCTCCCCGGAAAATGCTGAATCTGCCCCTGGTTTACAGCGATGTATGTTAAAAGAAGTGTGTTTTTATTAAAACATCTAGTTTCAGTCTTCGACACTTTTACAGCTACACTAGAAAACAAAATTATTTTCGCCCATTAAAAAACGTTCACAGGGTATCGACAGATTAAGACACAGTTGATCTTTTCATAACCATTTTTGTTTGTTCATTTTATCGTTCGTGCTACCAACGTCAAGAATTTCGGGCCAAACGGTGACAAGTGGCACAAAAAAAAACGATGTCAGGAACGTGTAATTTATAAGCTTCATATCACTGAACAGAAAGTTCTTTTTATGTAACTTGTCCCTCTGGGCGTTTGTCTGCTGCGGTTTGATAATTTGCACGGGCGGATCCATGAATTTTTCTCGGGGGGGGTTCAGGCCAAAGGTTTTTCATGATCGTTTGTGCACTTCGCTATATGCAGCCCTAGCGAATATTTGGTACAGAACAAAATAATCAGAGGGCTGCTAATGAAAGAGGTAATAATATTTCCCTCAATGGTATTTCTACCCTCACAGTCAGTCGGCATGGAAACCATATTTTGATATATTCGACGCCAGCGATAACACCGTACTGAAAATCGGCGGTCCCTGTTGCGCATGCCAGCAAGTCTGCTGCCGGTCAGACGTCGAATTCAACGTGAGTGGAGTTTGGGGTTTGAAGACCGTTTTCACATGTGACGGGGCACACCTGTGTCTGTACAGAGCAAGGGCAATCAGTGGCAACTTATTACTGATCGACCACTGGTCAATTTTGCCTGGTGCCCGGCATACATTTTTTGCATAGGTTACCAGTCAATATTGGCGATCGGTTCACAAGTTTTCGCTGATCGAACTTGCTCTTCATGGGAAGTTCCCGAAAAAGGGGATTATCAAACTACATGATTTTAAGAGGGGAGCAAATACCGAATTTGTCCCAACTTTACTGCACGATTGCAGCTAATTCTCAAATCGACAACGAGTTGTGAAATTTCACCTGAGAAAATTCTCTTGCTGTGATCAGCTGTTCAACATTTTACAACCCTTGATATTTACTGTCATTTGAATTTAATCCGCTCGGAAGGAATTCCAGAGGGCGGTAATTTTTTTTTCATTGATTTTCCTCTTTCGGCCACTATCTGTAAGTAAAACACAGCTGGGGGTTTCGGTGGCTTTGGAATGAAGTTTTGTGCTTAATTATTTTTAGAAGAAGGATATTTAACAAGAAATAATGTTAAATTCAATCCTTAAACTTTCCAATATAATATTTGGGAATCAACAAATGCCCTGAGTTTTTGTACATCATTTTTTTTGAAAACGAGAGAATTATGCATAAATCTAACCATTCATCCTCTAAGCACACGTAGTGTAAACTATGGACAGGCACGCTGGACAGGCAATGCTATTTTGTTCCCTGACTGCAGGTGTTCTCGGCGGAGGGAGGGATCGAGGTTGGCAAGATCACCAAACAGTGGGGCGGAATGGTCAAGGAATATTTGACCGAGGCAGACAATTTCGGCGTGTCTTGTAAGAATACTGATTGTTGTGGATTTCAACACTGATCAATAGCTGACTGCTCTGACTTTGACACATGCCGTTTAGAACACCCGAATGGGCGGTGCGTGTTATTGGGAACGAGCATGAAAATCATCAGCATTGACCGTGTGTAAATGCGCGCGGGCGAGTAAACCTTCGAGGGTAGGGTGTCCAATGCGTCCATGTAAATTCGAATTGCGGGATGCTGGAAACCACATTTAACCGCATGGGGGCGCTGTTGATGACACAGAAATTGATTTCCTATCCGTCAGCACTGTCCTTTTAGCAAAATTTTGACTAAACATGTGAATCATGATCATTGTCCAATCTTGTTTGCATGGGAGCTTTGTTTTTTGTTTTGTTTTGTTTTTTCTGTGTTCTGCAGTTCCTCAAGATCTGGATGTGAAAATGAAGGCAGTGATGGTTGCAGCTGCCTTCTTGATTGTAAGTATGAGCTTTCAGTTTTGGAGAATTTTTTTTAAAATCTCTTCAGTAGGCCTGAAGTAGTGAGGTCAAAAGTAGGCCTGTGCAGAAATCAGAATTTTACTTCTGGGCTCGGCCTAGTCTTGATTCAAGGACTTTTGTGCATTTGTAAATCTTATCACTTTTTTTTTCTTTCGGAAAAATTGTTTAAGCCTAATGTTAACTTTCATTTCAATTGTGCAATAATCGTGCTTCTCTACTGGCTGGTTCCCTGTATTCTTGACTTAGCACGAAGCACAGCAGGGGCAAGTTCGACCGCCGAACAAACTTTAATATTCGCCGGGTATCGATGATAAATTTAACCCTAAAAGAGCTGGGGACGGAATCTGCCCCCAACATTTTTCCTAATACGGCCGCAGTACATTTTTTCAGGATTTGAGCCTGAGGAGTTTTAAATAACTCTCTGCGGTCCGTTTGACACCACTTTTGTGAAAATTAGACACACCGTTCTTGCGCAGCGCGCATTTTTCCCCCAGACGAGGCTGCCAAAAATGTATGCCTTTTTTCCCACTGCTGCAGTACTCCATGCATAAGGGCTGGCACGCATGGCCTTCCGCTTCAAATGACCGCAACAACAAAACAATTCGTTTGATTGAGTTCAAACTTCACATTTGTAATGATAAGGAGAGTCTTTACCGCGTGCATGCCAAGTCTCAAAACCTCGAGTGAGGCACAGCTAAGTTTTTGGGGGCGGAATGCGCCCCCCGGCTGTGAGATGGGCCAAAAAAAAACCCGGCTTTTTTTTTAGAGTTAATGCTCCGGTTACCAGGAAATTGTCTTCCAGTCGGCAAATAGTCTTGGTTTCAAGACGTCAGTGCTTGATAGCGGACACAGTGCATAGTGCGCCCCACTGAGCGCCAGCTCGCACTAGTGAGAGTACGTAAAATCTAGTTATGCGAGGGCGCTCTTCAACAGAAATAAAACAACTGTCGATCACTAACGTCATGGGCCAAGACTAGTCGACAAATGGTCGTCGGTTGAACTTGTCGGCCATGGTTGTGGTCGTGTAATTAATACCTTCTGTTGCTCCAGTACTTTTTAATGCCACAAGTGAGAATATTGGCACGCGTAGTAAATAACAGTGACATCTGTTGCCAAGACTAGATTATATGCGTCTGAATCTGCTTTGTGCTGGAGTCGTGGAATGGCATTTTGTGATTTTGCTCTAATGTCCAGCAGCGTGTTGGCATTTCATTCACTCTTTCAAATTCTTTTTATTTTTCTTCAGGACTTCATGTTCTTCGAGATGGAGCCTAGCTCTTAACTCAAGTTGTGAGCTGCGTCGTCAGTATGAAAGTCAGAGTGAAACCTTTACCCCAAAGTAACGGCTCGTTTGCAAGACCGGAGGTGTAAAAGAAGCACTATTTTCTCAGGGAAGTTTCTGAGTCCAAAACAAAAAAGCACTGTGTTCTTGAAAATGCCAAATTAAGTTTTTGTCTAATTTGCACTTATTAATTTCAAAGACAATAATTGACACTTCATTGTTGTTAATTCTGTTCTCCTCGATTTTTTGGAGCCAGACAAGCATCGTTTATAGAGATGGAGTAACTTTACAGGTTTGTTTCGACGGTAGCCACTTAACTCTGGCACATTTGAAACGTAAACCGCTGGGCAAACTTCTCTCGAGTTTCTGGCGCCCCATGGTCCAATAATCTATAGCATAGTTACAGAAAAGAATAATTCTTTTTCCTCAGACTAGGATTTAGAGCCCCCTATCTAGGCCTGCTGCCCAGTTTCTTCGTTTCCTGGGCAACTTTGGCAAGTTTCATGTGGGACTAATGAAAAACATAACTTGAAAAACGGGGATTAGTTTTCGAAATTACGTCAAATAGTGTGACCTAGGGCTATAGAATCGTGCGAAGAATGGGCGGAGTGAAGCCAAGCCGATTCATACACACACAAAAAATGGTCTCGAGTCTATTCCCTGACTTAAACTACGCTCCTCCCACAACTGTTTTTCTGACAAGGAAACAAAAAGCAAAGAATGATGCTAATACTTTGAGCTATGTGAGGAATTCGATGCGCTCTCCAGTGTACTATTAGCTATGCAAAACTGGTTTTTCTGTATCTTACTGTTAGTTCTTCGCCTGGGTACACAACCATTGTTCCATTCATCAACATGCACAGTTTTGTCGCTCATTCACTCAGCGTTGATGGAATGTCTCTGACATCCAAATGGAGTCGAACGTGTGCAAGTGACAACCACGGAAAACTAGGGGACTATGTAAAAACAATTATTTTTATGAAAGTGTGATTGTATAAAGTTGAGGAATGTAATACCCGTGTGGAATCTTGGCAAGAAGCTTATTTGGAACATAAGGACCACTCACAAGGGTATACATCAAAACGCTCACCGAGCTGTTGTGGAATTATTTCGTTTCGAAAGCGTAAACATTGGAATGACACGATGTCCTGAGCGGTAAGTCTCTTGCATCCGTTTCGATTGACTTTCAGTTATTAATCCATTTGTTAAAACAATTCATGGATTGACCTTTTTTTAAGGATCATTGCTAAACAGTGGAAATTTGGATTGATTACAATTATTCTAAATCTATTAAGTAAAATGAGAAACAGAATCGAAAGAAACAAAGTTAAATTCGGTGAAAAGCGATACAAAGCAATTTTTTAAAATACAAATGGCAAAGACAAATATTAAATACGTGAAATATTAAGAAATAAAAGTTTCATGTAGATAAAACCAATAGGAATTGAAGGGCCAAAAAAAATATAAAATGTAGTTTATATTTAACTACATTTTAATTTTTTTTCGCTTACCATAGAAATTTTTTTTAAAGGGACGCAATGTGAAAGATAGATTGCACAGAGAACAGTTCGCATCTAAAATAAGAATTTATCAGATGCAAAGAGACAGTGATAAAATGCACAATATCAAAGTCCAAGAGAAATATAACAGATTTAGTTTGGAAAAAGCAGTTTTAGGAGGAGATATAGTTGAAGCTTCGGTCGATACATTGCACATAATCTCCTTTTGATTTTTCGTTGTTCCCCCATCAACAGTAAAAAACAACAACAAATGAATGAAAAATGCTGTCATTTACGTGCTATGTAAAAAAGTTCACTAATTTAAATGATATTAAATTTTTTAAACACCCTGAACTTACATTATTCGTAAAAGACTGATCTTTAAGTTTTTAGCTTAGCTCAGCTTAGCAAGCTAGTATAATGAACTTGTTTGCAGAGACTGTTCACAATGCCTGTAGATTCTTAAAGAATAATTCACAATTTACTGAATAGAGTGAGGTCACAAGAGAAAATTAATTCTAAAGAATCGAATTTCCACAAACCAGGTAGTAACAGGCCTGAACGGTTCGGACTTCACATACAGTGCCAAAAGTACCCCTGTCTGAGGTAGATACTAGTAGGTACAGCGATTCAGTTTTCGTAACTGAGAGGTGCGTAAAGAAGGCTACATTGCATTTCGCAAGCATTCGATCCATTTTGATAGGTTTCTTCAAAGACAGTAGCCCGGTGTGGATAGCTAGCTTAATCTTCCAGTGTTAATAACATGTAGTTTCTCTTTTTGTTACGGTTTTAAATTTCTTTCAAACCCAGATTCTTTCTTGTTAATTAAACTGGATTTATCACGAATTGCACGGTGAAAAGACTCTCCGGTTGTAGTATTTATTATTTGGGGGCCACTGACGCAATTCGATCAATTTATTATGACACGTAGTGGTGTCAGCACGTAGCTGATCGGCAACAAATATTTTCTGAGGAAGATTACCGCTGTCAATTAATTGTTATCTTGTTAATGAACAGTTACTGGATCATCCTAGTAAGGGCAAACATGGATTGAAGTTTGTGATTTGTGGCATTAAATTTGTGTCTTCTACAAGTGGTTGTAAATTAAAATTCTCGTTAATTTTCTTTGTCGTTTGATCATTCTAGGCAAATTAAAAGCTATCAAATGACATTTTATGTAGCAGTTTTCCTTTTGCCCAGTAATTTCGACAGAACAATGCCGATTCCTTTGTCCCGGCATGATGTGGTCCCACCGTGTAACATGATACACGTATTTGTCTCAAAAATGTACTGCTAAAGCCAAGATCAAAATTAATAAACCTTCCCTAATAAATTCATAATTATGCACGCATGCGCACAAATGGCCTTGGCGGCAAGGGCCATTGAAAATGTAAAGGGGTACACGATTTCGATCATTTTCTCTCCGGTTTTCTGGCTTTGTTCAGTTTTTCTTCCGAAAATCCCATTAAATAGTTTCTGCTATTAGTTTTTAGTCTAAGTGGAATTTATTTTTCTGGCTTAATCTCGTAAGCATAGGAAAAATCACGATTGTAAAGTCTTTTTACTGAGCACTAAAAATCCCGCTTAAAGGTTAGTGAGAGAAAGTAAAAACTAGTTGTGCAAGGGCGCTCTTCAACAGAAATAAGCAACTATCGATCACTGACCCGAAATAGGGCACTTCCAACCAAGGAGAGTGTTAATTCAAGGACTTCCAGTACCTGTGCATGCGTATCATCCATGGCTTGGTCTAGCTGCGCAAGCTGTACTTGACCATCCAAGATTGACACCCCTCGTCGTTAGGGTTAGCCTCCGTTAGGGTTAGCCTCCGTTAGCTAGGGTGCCTCCGTTAGGGTTAAGCTTTGTTAGGGTCCATCCTGTAAAAACATTTCTTGAAACTGACACAGACAATGACAAAATTACATGACATAGCCTATGCATAATTCTCATTCGATTACCTGGACATTTAATGTGCCAACAATCCCATATTTCTGAGGTATCAAAATCGTTAAAACTCGAATGCATGGCTTTTCGTCGTCTCTCTACCACTGTTATGACAAACAGAAACAAGAGAAACGATTTTTAAATCCAGCCGCCATTACAGCATGGACGCTGCCATTTTGAAATATAGGGTGTAGTCCACTAATTCAGGCCCCATTGAAAACAGTGTAAAATCAGCATTGTTCGGGGCCCAATAATATGCGTACCAACATCCCTGAGGCATCTGAAACACACGTTAAATTATTGTATGGTCCCTAATCTTTAACTGTCTTTTCAATTTTCTGTGGGTCAACCGATTACATTTTGAGTTATTCCCTCAAAACAAAATTAACCCCTCCCCCGCCCCCCCGAAAAAAGTGATTTTTCCAAAGTCTGCTTGCAGCCATTTTTCAAGTGACAACCCTCAACTTTAAATTTCGGGGGTACTTGGGAGTATTTTCCTACAGTATGCTTTAGCCATTCTGCTCTCAGATGAAAGCTCAAAGACCTAGGGAGTTGATCCTAGCAAGGATGTACACAATCTAACCATTTTGGGGGCCAAAACCTCGTTGTTCAAAGATACTCTGGGGGCACAGTCAATGCTAATGAGCTGGCCAGAAATTCTCACTTGAATTAGTGGTCTGCACCCATAAACCCGAGCAACAAAGCGCCCTCTCTTGGTCAACAGTGAACAAAAATAACTTTCCTTCGTTCGTAAACTTATTTAGTTGACTGTTTGGAACCAAAATTGAGTGTCACTGTCTGCCTGCGAGTCCATTTGGAAGAAGGGATTGTCTGTCGGTGTGCATGCATGCTTGTCTTAGTCTCCCTGTCCCAGTACAGTTTTTTTCCATTTCCGCTCAGTGAGTGATATTTAGGCAATTTTGTAGGCCACCTCTGTCTACGGCTTGGATCCTTTTCAACCATGTAACTCTTCAAAAATGGCCTAGAGTCCGAGACAGTCGAATTCGCAAAAATGGTAAGAATTTCACATCGTCTACCTCAGTCCCAATAGAATAGTATGATGAAACAGTGCCAATGTATTAATGGAAGATTGCCATGAATGCAAATGAAGACTATTCGGGGCAGGTACACTTCGCCAAAAGTTCAAAATTTGAGCAAAGGAAGTCCATGTAATGTATGTACACGGTAGATGTGCCCTAAATGCAAGAGTTGACAAAAGCTATATTGAGGACCCTAAAGAGGACAAAAAGAATTAAGCCTTTGCAAGTCCTGAAATTTTCATTGGAACATGTGCTTTCTCGGGGTTTACCTGTCTCTATGCATTTTTCATTTTCGTTCAGTGGCGTTTTCCATGGTATTGTGAACAAAAACAGGGTTTTACGGCATTTTTATCTGGCCACTCTGTTGTAAACCATATGCTTACAGTAATTCCTTTCATTCTGCTCTGAACTATTTGCTTACTTTCTATTGTTCTGCAGCTCCTTCAGAAATTTGTGTCTTAAAAGAAGTTAGTTACTAAAAAAATAAGAATTTCAAAAAGCATCATGTCGTCTTACACACTGCATACACTTGCTGATGGCTGCCTGCACAGTTGGGTGTGTGCGAAATATTGGTCAAAAACATGTTCCAGGGTTTCATGGACTTGTCTTCCATGAAAACACCCGGTGAGGTGAAATTCACCACGTTTGGCCAATATATGGTGACCAGAGACCAAACCTAAATAAGACGTCACATCTGACATGTAAACATTGGTTTTGGCCAAGGCTGTTCCTTTACACTTGAAAATATACTGGGCTTTTATTAATATAACATAATAGAATGAAAACAAACTGATATTTGTAGTCATAGCACAAACCTTTCATTCAGTATTAAATCAAACAGCAAGTCATTTCAAAGTCATAACGTCAAAAACACAAAAGAGAAAACAAATTAATGCCTTTTGGCAAATGCCAACAGTATGGAATGTTTCGGAATATCATGTCTCATTATTTGGTCTGCATGCAAGACGAATAACGACGGCTACAAACAAAATGTCTCACTGAATGCATTTGGTTTCACTGGCCTCATTGCTATTGAGCATACAAGACTGATTTGAGAAGGACCACGAAAATTGTCTTAGTGTAAACTTAGACTTCGACAACTTCTTCGGCTGTGATTATCTCTCCTCGGTGCAGTTGCTGAGTAACGGCTTGCATCTCTGTGTCCATGGCAACCTCCTCCTGCTGGACATCCTTCTCAGCAATAACTTCTTCCATTGTGAGGGCCTGTGCAGGGTCAGAGTTCACAATTTCATGGGTTACTGCATCTGCAGTCTCCATGGTGTGGGTTTCAATCACAGGAGTCCCTCCCTCGACTATGGGGGTGGTCATGTGTTCAGAATCTGTGACAGTGATTGGTATGGCGGATGCAGTGCCGTCAACCTCGGTCGTCATGTCTGTGGTGGGGGTCATGTGATCAGAGGTCATGACAGGGATGGAGATGGTTGAGGTTGTTGACCCGTTGACCTCTGTCATCATGTCGGGGCCCAGGTTGACCATGACAATGCTGGTCTCTCCATTCTTGCTTTCAAGTGTGGCCTGCATGGTGGTGGTGCCATTGCTGATGGTGTCGGACGCTGGCTGGAACACCACCTGGGCGCCGTTGGCAGCGAGCTGCTGCAGCATCAGGGCAGCCTGCTCACTGTTGGCCGTCTGCAGGATCTGGGTCTGGCCGCCCAGCGCCTGCTGCAGGAACGCCGCGGCGGCCGTCTCTTCTCCCTCCCCCTCGCCTGTCTGCAGCAGGATCTGGTGCGTGGCATCGGCACCAGCACCGGCACCTCCATCCAGCACAGCCTGCGTCTGCTGCTGTTGTTGCTGCTGCTGCTGGGAGCTCATGGCCTGGAAGACGGCCTCCTGAATGGCTGCACTGGCCGAGTTGCCCTGGACGTAGTCGATGGCCTGCTGGGAGTTAGCCTGGAACTGCAGGAGCTGTATAGGCTGCTCTGGTGTCTCCTGCATTGCCTGCGTGATGGGAGACAAATGCATGTCGATAAAAACCATTGTATTCAATATTCCTAAAGCAATCAGCCATGGTACCCAAGGCTGAGCTTGAAACATCATCAGGGCCCAATTCACACAGCTGATTGGAAGAAAACACTACAGGGGTAATGGAACCAGTCACAAACAATGAATCACGTAGCATTTTAAATGGTAACTTGTTCTTGCTAAGCTAAGGCTGCATCTAAATCTGATGGCCAGAGCTACATGTAGGTCTAGGTCTTTTCTCCATTGGAAATAACTGGAGAGGTGCTGATAACAAATGTAGCCAGAGCTCTGGAGGCCCGTTTGGGGCATGGTCTTAGCTTTCCCAGGCTGAGCATATTTAGAGAACCAGCCCTTCCTCCAACACTGGGGGAAAGGATTTTCTTTTAACCTACCTCTGCAGCAGCCTGATGAAGGATGTCTGTGCTGGGCGTGGCTACCTCTGTGATGGAGGTGATGATATGTTGACCCGACGAATCAGTCGTCAGCTGTACAGGTGCCTGGTTCCCCTCCCCTTCCTGTGAATTGACAAGGGCATGAGAGATGTACCTTCCAGACAGTACTGGGTCAATGCACACCCGCGAAAGGGTGCTTTATTGACATATATGAAGGCTGTTTGTGTTCTAAAATATGGCTGCAAAGTGTCAATATTACAGAGCCAACACCAACTTGTGTGACCAAGTATGAAACTCAGGGGTCGCAGATCCGATAATTCTTTCAAAGGACCCCTCCAAAAAGTTGTTTATAAACTTTCAAGATCGTCAAACCAATTCTACAGTTGTCCTTACATGTAGCGACTCCAAGGCTGAAATGGCTTCCTCAGTCAGACGCCCCTCCGCCAACGCTGGGTCTGGCTCGATGATCACCACCACGTTCTGACCGTGAACTTTGACCCCTTTCTCCATTGGCCAGGGAACCTGCAGGTGTATAAAAAAAATTTAAGCGCAACAACCACATCCTTGGCACATTATGGCTGTCTAAAATTTCAACTGTTGAGATGAACGTTGCAATACCGTATGAGAAGGTGATGATGGAGACTCCCGCCATATCTACTTTGGCATGAATGGCAGATATGGGATGTGCATAGATGGTAATTTATTTTTGGTTGCTGTATATTCAACACCAGGAGTTCCATTCGTACCCCCTGGAGTAGCCCAGTTCTATCTTATGCAGGTTTTCAACATGGGTCTGTAGTTTCTCAAAGTTGCAGCTCTAGTCTAGTTATATCCTTCTTGGACCCCTAGCTTGCTAACTTTGTCCCCTATTTTCACTCTGCTTGTACTAGCTGCCTTCCCTGCTGTGTCTCTTTTCACTGATTGCACCTCTGGTTGTCTTCCTACTTGCTCCTTGTCTTTATCTCCAATCTGTCCCCCTGGTTGTGCCCCGGCGGCACCCTTCACTTTCTCCTCTACCTTTATAGTGACTGTCTCCTCGATGGCCGGGCCTGGGATCAGTTTCTCCCCTCGCAGATGGTGCTTCTTCTCGTGGCTCTTGAGGTAGTCGCTGCGAGTGAAGCAGTTGCCGCAGAAGCGGCAGCGGTAGAGCTTGGCACCTGCACGTATAACGTATGTCAGTCTCGAATTTAGCAGGACAGCTTGTCCATGTTGCAGCAGGTTACATAAGCCAAATTAATTGTAAGTGAATGCATAGGGAAACTAACCAGTGGACCATTCGGGTAAACCGGCTGTGCATGCACAAGATGAAGCATGCTGCGGGTCATTTGGGATGGGAGCCTACATCAAGGTGACTGTAGAGCAATTCCAGCTAGAGTGACATCAGTTGCTTGTCCTTAATCTTTCTTCAATTTACTAACCATGTTTCAATAGTATGCCAAATTGGCTTACTGCACAGAGATACTACTGAAGCCTCTGAATGCCATCTTTATCGAGTCTATCATTTTAGCTGAAACTTGAGTACAGTCAACATCTAAGTTATAGGACAACGAAATCATTATCAGGAATAGACAGAGGTCAGGAGGCTAAGTTATCTTCCGATGATTCTCTTCTGCTCTTGCTTTCCTTTGCCCTTCCCTCTCCCTAAACCCACTTGACCGGGTCACTGTACCTGTGTGAAAGATCAGATGGCGCTTGAAGTCAATGACGGCGATGAAGCGTTTGTTGCATCCGGGCTTGGGGCAGGCGTAGGGGAAATCGTTCTTGTGGCGCTTCTCGTGGTACGAGCGGGAGCTCCGCCGACTGAAGTGAGCCGGGCAGAAGCGGCACTGGAGCTTTATCTTCCCTCCTGATTGAAAGAAGAAACAAAACAGGGCTGAGTTGATGGTTTCATGCCATGCTATACACAAATCCAGTGAAAAGAATTAGTAGTCATTGCTGCAAAGCTGTCCTGTTTGCATGCAAGAGGTACGCGGGCATTACATTCTGACCAATAAGGTGTCATGACTTGTCCAAGTCACCTGTCACAGGTGATGCATGCAGTATTTTCTCTAGAGTTTTGAAGGAATAGGTTTTTGCTGATAATGCTAAACTCTCAAAAAAATCCTCAGGCACGGTGAACATTTTTCACAATGGCTTGGTGTACTACATGAAGGAATTAATTTTACACTGAAAAATGACACCGACAGGATTTTAACCTTTGACCTTCAACATTTACATTTACCATACCACCATTTAATCTCCTGTGCAGGGAAACATACGGCGACAAAGCTCAAATGATAAAATGCAACGAAACTATTCTGGTTACACCGGTGCAGTAGAAAGGTGCAATCACACTTGACTCTACTTTCATTGTTCAGCTAAATCTGAAATCTTGGGAGCGCAAACGTGTGATTCAGTCTAACAATATGACCAATTGAAATCTGCTCTGTGGATGTGTTTATTAGAGCTTTACCTTCAGTGTGCGCCTCAATGCGATGATCTTTGAGCTCCGGCCGTGACTTGTACGCTCGGCCGCAGATGTCGCACAGCTCGTTCTTCTCCGTGCTGTGTGTCTTCAAGTGTTCTCTAAGCTTGCCGATCTTGACCCACCGCTTCCCGCAAATTTCACACTGGAAGGGCCGACTGTAAGGCAAACAGGACGCCAAACCAAAGCAAGCATTAATAAACCTACGTAGAGAACAACAGTTCTTGCTTATTGCTGAGAGGCCATGAGCAGGCCACTTTGCTTTGATAGCCCCTCTCTTGAACACAATAACTACAGTGTACAGTGGCTAATTTTTCTGACATCCTAGCCGACCTACATGTAACCATGGCACAAACTCTGAAGTCATAGTAGTTAAAACTGAGTGAACGCATTTATTAAACAGCCTTGAATTTGGTCAGTTTTAGGGCAAGGTCACTTTGGCCTTGAATTAAGCAAAATTGTAGAGGGCATCGTGGTCAGTCGGGAGAGTAGCAAGGCCAGATAAAAACTATCAAAGAGCGAGTTACTTCATCACTATTTGACAATCAGAACATACACCGCATGAACGCAAACACACGCACCCACTTACGTCTTGTACACGGACCTCAATGTGAATTGTGTGTGATCAGGGTGGCATGACATCAAAATACACTTCCAATGGAAGTTTTTTCACAAAATGTGCTTAAGCATGAAAAAAACCTTGCGTAAGAAACAACGGTTATCAGCTCAAAATCGATGTGATTTTCATGAAAAAAACTAAATACCATTCCAAAACAATATACATTACATGAAGTTCTGGCTGGTTATCTGATTTATCAAGGTATTTTTCAAGCTTAAAAAAAGTCTGCGCTTAAGCAGCTCTATGAAATTGGCCCCTGCTGGTGATCACTGCTTTGAACCATAGGTAAGTAGGTAAGCTTGTGAAGTCCTCCCTTCAAACTGCACGTGTTGAACCCTTTGCCAGCAGGCAATGCCCAATTCAGAAACTGACATGAGCTTGGCCCTCAAAGTCACCTGGCCCCTGTGTGCCTCAGCTCGTAGTGGTAGTTCAGGGCGGCCATCGTCGTGTAGGCCTTGTAGCACTGGTCCACCGGACACTTGTAGATCTGCCGCGAGTCGGTCATGTGATCAGTCTCAAGATGCTCGGCTCTTCCCTCTGTGGAACAAAGAAACAGTGATCATGTTAAGAACTGCTCGGTCACCAACTCCGTATGCAAATGAAGGAATACTTAATTAGATTTCATATACCAAGCACAGTTGATCATATTTCTAAGTTCTTCTCAATTCACCCTGAAGTGAAAACCCACAAATGTAGAGTTTACACTTCCATTCGAACACACTACAATTGGTAACTTTAAAACAAAAAGCTATTTCCCTCGTACTAACATTCCCCAATCCTCCGATTTCAATATGATTTTATATACAACCTAGGGGGTTAGCGTTAATTCGCTTTAAAGTCACCTACAACTTGCATGAGGTGACACTTGGCCTCAACATTGTTCTGTTAGATGCTAATGGCATGACAAATTGAGAGTTTGCTATGGTAAAGATGCTGCTCAAGAGTTTGGATCTAATACTGTACCTTGAATCAAAGGATTTGTCTGATGAACAGGGATGCATGGACTGCAAATCAGTGCTGTAGATAATACCATTATAAACAAGAGCAGTCACAAGACCAGTCACATGACTGTCACCAGACCAGTCACAAGTAACTGGATAGACAGTGACAAAGGAATACTTTTCTTGCAGTTCATGTGAATAGCTTGTGAACTGCATTCAGGCTGGAGGTCTTGTGTTGGTTTTGTGGGGTCTCGTGGCAGTCTTAAGTCTCAGACCACTAACACTGCTGTACACTACAAAATGTAGGCTGCTGAAGTTTGTTGCAAACATTGTTTTTGTATTTATCGCACTAAAATCTGAATTACGTTTTCCCCCCCAAGTGCAAAAAGCTACTTTCCACAGAATCGCCATTTTCTCCCCGTCTATTGTTCCTGGAGTCTCTTCTTTCCTAACACGGCAGCATTAGGTTTGTGTACATCTGGCTCCCTACCACCCCCCTCACTGTCAAGGTGTTACACGTATGTCGCCTTTACCTTTTGTGGCGAAGGTGACCAGGCAGTCGTTCTCCGTGCACTGGTATCGCTGGTGCTCCGGATGGAACTTCTCGGTGTGGTTCTCCAGGCCGAGCTCTATGGAGAAACTCTTCTCACAGAATTTGCACTTGATTTGGACCGGCCCCTTAGGCAAGGGCTCTGTCAGGGGAAAATTAAAAATAGAGACCATCGTTGTGCATAGACAGAGTGTGTACATGTATACTCTTGATAACCAAACTGGGGAGCGTTAATGTTAAAGGATAATGAGCGCCATCGTCTGTTACTCTCTCAGGTAAAGACACAACTGCCTTTGTGCCCATTCAGTTAAAAGTCAGTTCTGCAAAATTTTGCATCTATAGGCTTACAAGGGTGCAAATGCCCTTACCACAGACTCCCTGCATGCTATTGTCCAAATAACTGTGCACATCATATGTACACATTATTAAATGCCTCGTCATTCCAGCTAGGACTAACAATCTGAAGATAGTTAGTAGGGTTGGTACATGATGAAACTAGCAATTGAATAATAGTGTTAGCAACATTCAATGGGGTGGCTCGCGCCATCTCATAATTGTTACACTGCTGCTACATGTAGCTGCCCAGAGTGGCATGGCTCCAGGGATTTGTAGCGCTGTGCTGCAGTTAGCAGCATTGGGGTTGAGGAGGATAATTAGGAGTAATTACCCTCAGCAGCTGCTCGTCGTCTGTGCCTTTCCAAGTGGATGGGTGAGCGGAAGGCCTTCTTGCAGGTGTCACACCGGAATTTCTCAGACAACACCTGATCTCTCCTGCCCAGCTGGTGAATTTCCTCCATGTGCCACGTGTGCTCCGTCAGGTAGCGGAAGGCCATGTCGCACAGGTTGCAGACGAGGTAGGTTAGAGAGGGCTGGGCGTGCTGCTCCAGGTGGAAGTCGAACCAGCTCTTGGTGGGGAAGACCTTCTGGCAGGTCTCGCAGGTGAAGGGGAACCGCTCCGGGTCAGGCTGGCTTGGGAGGCACTCGTCCTTGACCTGTTTGATAATGGGCTGGTGGTCTTCATCGTCATCGTCGTCAAAGCGCCGGCGCCGCTTGCGGCGCTTCCGCCGGCCACGCTTCTTGCGCTGGATGGGCGGCCGCCCGTCTTTGCGTGGACGGCCGCGGGGTCGCTTGACAGGCAGAGGAGATGCTACAGTAACGGCTAATGGCACTGGAGCATCACCGATCTCTCTCAGGAGAGGGTTTGGGATGACTGGCGCATCCTGCTGGCCGCTTTCAGCCAAGACGCTGGGATCGCCATCCTCTCCTTCATCGGCTTCCATCCCAGCGATGAGATGATCCACGGCTTCTCCCAACTGGGTGATATTCTCCTCGTCCTCGCCCTCTCCACCTTCTGCCCCATCTTCTTCCTCCGGCACATCCATGCTGTCTCCGTTCTCTTCATCCTTTCCTTCCTCGTTGTCTGGCTCCTTTTCCTGTTCATCATCGGTATTCTCATCACCTGTGACAACGCAAGCGGTACCATGTCAGACTGACAGACGTTTGTCCCATTTGACCTGAAAAAGATTCTTGCCAGTTTCCCTATAAAGTCACTTGGCTTGTTTCATGTGTTTCCTGTACTCTGATAACCGATTTTCTCGCCCACGAGTGATGACGAACATTGACAAAAAAGTGCACCGTATTATGCAGGAAACAATGCTGAGGATGATTATGGGCACAGTTACAATAATTGTAACCCTTTCAGATGGGTCATTCCATGAGGTTGTGGCATAATTTGTGACGGTGTCCTTGTTACATCCAAAACTTTTACCACTTGTCATGACCTGCACAGTAGGTCATTTACTCTGTACAAATAACACACACCTCTGTATTCAGCTTTGCAAGATGTACATGTATAGCAATGTTAATTTGGAATCCACAGGCAGGGAAATAGCTGTTCATTTTTTCACGGGACCCATGTAACAATGGACACCGTCACAAATTGTGCCCCAACCTCATGGAATGACCCAGTTACAAAGACACCATTACAAACGACAGAGCAAAATGGAATAACTCTTTGCAAAATTGGGAGTTACAAAACTTAAAACTCTTTCAGTTTAACGTAAAGCCAGATGACTGTTTCATGTGCAACCTCACCACATGGTTTTACATGGTTGTTTTGGGAAGTGGTGTTCATAACATGAGATGCCAAAACAGGTATGCCTAATGCTACTGATGATTGTGGCTGTGCAGACATCTGTTTCCACCAACAGTTCCTGATGTCTTGACACCAAAAACCTTAAAAATGCTCCAGCTTCAATATTTATAAGTTTAGAGGAACAAATATATATCTACATCCATGGAGTTTTAGAATATATCCTTTAGATACACTCAAAATGGATCCATCCATTCACAAACATGAGACCGCCGATTTTGTTGGCCCTCGTTTTGCAAAACGTAACTCCTCAGGCAGATCTTAGTCCATGTATGCATTGCTTAACCCTCCTTCAGTTTCACAGCACAAATATGCACCAGTGCCCAAGGTCACTCTCTTCATGTTGGTGCAGTGCACAACATGACACAGCTGTGCTTCTTTGAGGTGTTTACCAAGTGACCCAAAGAGTGACTTCAGCATAGGAGGGTTAAGGAAGGGATATCAGTCTCACCATCAGAGGATTCCGTCAGTAGGTCTTCCTCTTTCAGGACCCCACACTTCCCCCTGTGCCTCATGAAAAGAACCCCCGAGGTGAATTTCTCCCCGCACTCCACACAACGCCGGCTGCGGTCACGGGTGGATGTCCTGCGAATACGCTCTTCTAACTGCAGAACCAAAAAGGGGAACGCCACTTTCAAATTGAGTATGAAAGAATGTGCACATCCTGAGAGCCCGAACCACAAGTATAAAGAGCACAAACTCTTTTAGAAAAATCCAAGTTGAAATTAATGCATAGCCGGTTACCGGTAGTGTAGTCATCTTCCAAGGGAAGACACTATCACTGCAGGTTCAAGTTTGTACGGTAAATCATTCGGAGGGTTCATCTTAGACACGTCTACACAAGTATTGTGGGCCCTGACGGTGCCCAATTCAGGAAAGCAACAAAAGTTTAAAATCAATTTCTGACGTAACAGCACAGATCAATACAGCAATGCGCCAAAATTTGCAAGAACAAAAAAGTTGAGCAGTGTTTTACTTGACTATTATATCAGAACCCAAGGCAGGCTATGTAAACTGCTATGGATTAGCCTATTAGACGTTGATGCCAGATGGTCTCACAACTGCCCCCACCCCACTTTAAATATCGTTCCGACGCCATTGAGTCTACCCGCAGTAAGTGCATGATTCCACATTCTCTGCATTCCGTGGACAAGTGATTTCTAATCTGTCAACAGTACCATTAAACTTTAACTGTTATCCTTCAACCATTAGGGCTGTGCCGAATAACCGAATACTTGATCGATTGTCGAATATTTGAATATTGTTTTTTGAATTTGAATATTCAAATGCAAAATTCATGAAAAGGAAGGGAAAATTTTCTTTTGCTTTAAATGAGAAAAATTGCACCATGGAGGCCTGTATCAAGTGGATTCAAATGAAAGGCGACAGAAATCTTACGATTTAAAAAGTAGATTATTCATTAAACAATTTAAAAGGAATAAAAGTTTTCAACAGGGCAAGGAGTCTTGTTTATCTCTTAAATCCCACTAAATCGTGGCGGGAGATACTCCTAGATGTGAGAAGCTATTATATTGATCACAATGTACAACTGTGTGTGTTATTGCAACTGATTTTGTATGTGGATGTGTTCATCAACAATCCGCCGGTCGGTACGACTGAATATTCAGCAATTCGATCAAAGTGAAGGTCGAATATTCAAATAGTGAATAATTTGAATTGACTCAGCCCTATCAACCATGTGTCATTCAAACCTCTTTCTTTTTCCGCTCTTCCAGGGCTTGCAGCTCCTCTGGTGTGTACTCTTTCCTGGGCTTCCTGCCTCGTCTCTTGCCAGGGGGAGGGGGTTGGCATGCTGGCTCGTCGGTGTCCTCCGTTGGTCTTTCAGAACGCCGTCCTCTGAGAGCGTACTCGACGCCTTCCAAGACATCTTTGGTCATCTGTCAACACATTGCAAGTGAATCCAGACTTGTTTTTAATTGCTTGCCTGGTGCATTTCTTTTTTGGACTCGACATTTATTTCCATATTGCAATGTACATATCAAATTATACACAAGGTCAATAAATGAAAGACTACAAGAGTGAAAATTACCATAAGACATTGAAAAAAGGGGCCAGATACCATGCATATTCAGAAGACAAAGTCTTATACAGAAATGCCTTAGTTAAACAAGAACCAGACCAGCAAGACAGACAGTAGATTGTACACGAAAGAAAGACAATTACATCGTATGTGTTTAGTGCTGGATTAAGTGGATCATGTAGGGCTGAGTGTTGATGAATTGGTGGATTAGATCCAGTTGTGGATAGGGGGTGTGGATGGAGAGGGATGCCCACTCCTCAGGATGTTGCACAAGATGAGGGGAGTCAGGTTAGTGTGGTGGTTCTTTCCTTGCCCTTCACCTGTGCAGCCCGGGTTCCAATCCCTTCTCACACCACATGTGGATTGAGTTTTCAGTCCCTTCCTGATTCTGTGGATGTTACCCAGAATATTCCTCTGGGTTTCCCTCCCACCTCTTAAATAAACTGAAACTGCTTCTCACTGTCTCTTCTCTTCAGATTTCTGCCTCGGGCACTTCTGAAGAGTCACCGGCATCAATAATTAATATCATTAACAACAGTGAAACGTATCTCGAAAGCGGCTCTTGAAAGTCAATACGTGTGTTTGTGGTGCCAGACTTTCGATTCTAAACTTTTGTCCTGTATATTTTTGAATTGTCTATTCCAGGCAAATATTATCCCACCTTCGGCGCCTGGTTCAATCTGGCAATGTGCTGTACTGTTTAAGCACTCTGTGCAAAACGTTTACCTCAAAGTAAAATTTGAAGCCGACTTGGACCAGGGTGATGTTACACTCAGCCTCCTCCTTGGTGATCTTGATGCAGTGCAGCCAGCGAGGGAGGGTGGGGTCCTGACTGGACAGGATGTAGGTCTTGTCATTCTCATCTTTCGGGTAGATCTGCAGTTATGAATATTCATAGTCAACGTTACATGCATGTACATGTAGTTTGATTTATTATGGGTGAAGTGGAACAGAGTCAGCCAGGTCTTTTTTCATCAGGAAAAAAAAAATCAAAAAAACTATAAAAATTGATATTGAATTGAAAAAAGGAAAGCTGAACCCCCCCAAAATAAGAAGAATTCAGATAAAAAATGAGAAAAAGAGAGCCAAAGCCCTATAAACAAAATGTACACCACGTTTAGAGTCTGTTTTTCAACATACATAATTACATATACACATCACTGAATCATTTATGACATTTAACTTGAAATCAAATGTCCTGAATTGTTTCCCTCTCTTTTGAGGGAGTTGGTATTGGTAGACTTTTAACCCCTTCGTGCTGGGACGCGGATAGAGCCGCCGTAAAAATTAAGATCCTCAGCCCGCTTTTCAACCATTATTCTCGGCCCACGCTCGAGCGAACACGGTGAAAGAAGGCAGACCCTGGCTCTTGTATATATGGTGATTGGCTTTTGTGTGTTGCCAAGAAATGAAAAGGCCTAATTTGCATCATAATCACCAGCTTCACAATAGTTTCCACTTTAAAAAGAGGCAACGGGAATGTGGAAGCTTGAGTAGAGCCGCATACCACCGAACAATCAGCCTTTTCACCATGTAATTCAAAGCGTGCAGGGCACGCAGGGCCACAAACCGAGAATTTGCAGATTGGCAGGTGGCCTTTGTGGCCAAGCGAGGCTGGAATTCTTGAAGTCAGCTTTCGGGAAGAAATTCCCGTCGTCAAGGGGTTAAGGTTTTACACGTTATTGCTGGTGGATGTGTGGTTCACATATTTTGTCAAACCTGATTCAACGTGGCATTTTTCCAGTTTGTTCCTCAAAAAATTGAGTTATGGCCTACAGGACTATTCACATGGATGTCAGAGGCTCCTACTGTTTGCTTCTTTCTGTTTTCTTTTGAAGGGGTGTGGTGGGGTGGGGTGGGGCAAGGGTGTAAGACGTGGTTTAGGGGAAGGGTGGGGTGCAGTGAGGGTGGTTAGAGTAACTGTGGAATGGGGTAGGGTGGGGTCGGGCAGTTTGGGTGGGGGTGAGATGTAGTTTACGTGTGGCATTGATTGTCAAGGTGGGAGGATGGTGCCTGTCATTAAAGCTGTTTAAGACACCGAAGTATCTCAAGATTCATTCTTGTCCCTGACCTTCCATGCTCCAAATGGGACATCGTCATCAATGTCTGCCGCCCTCAATCTGCCTTTGTAGGGTCCAAAACGGTGGCCCTTCTGGAGAGCCTGCTTTGTGGCAACAGTGACCGATGCATCTGAAAATGGGACATCAGTTGAGAATTTGATTGATTGGCATGCATGTACAGTATCTAGAGCTCTCAAATCATAGCAAGCAGGACAAGGAGAAACAGTTAAATTTGATTTTCCATTCCTGTCACACCTATAAAGCAAAGGTCCAAATGCAAATAACGAGGTTTCCATTGTGGAAGATGCATGATGAATTATACTGTACTTTTCTCAAGCAATATTGACTGTAAACTTTTTTGTTATTAAGGATCTTTTTTGCTTTGTACGTCCCATTAATTTTTCTTCAATTCAATGTTTTGGGACATCTCATTTCAGGCAAAATATGAAGCTGTCCAGGCAAATTTTAATGTGGTGTGAAAGCTCATTTAGGTAAAAAAATCAGCAAGGGTAAAAAAAAAATTGGACTCCCTCTGTAAAAAATCTAGCTACCACTTGCAAGCCGCTTTTTCCTTTAAAAAACCAAGAAACTAACTTTTGTTTTTTACTGGCCTTAAACCATTAACTAGTCCAAGTCAAGAAAAAGGGTAGGAAGCCTAAATGTAAAAATGTTTGCGGGTACTCAGAATACCTCACAGACTGTTGGAGACTTTGGCACTGTACACACATCTTTTCCTACCTCCATAGTGCACAGATAGCTCAATGACAGTGGGACAGTCTTAAATTATTGTGCTTTTTGGACGGCTGGGAACAACCAACTAACATAAGTAACCGTCATCACAGTTAGGGCCCATGAAGTTTTTGTTATTTTGCATTTGTGCAACCCCGTTTAGCATAAACTGAGATATGATTCTGATAATACAAAGAGAAACACGACTTTCATTTCTTTCGGCTATTTAAAACATACAAAATTCGCAGGCTCAGAGAAAACCCCACTGGAAAATGAACAGCTCAAAAGAGGGACGGCGGCGCGAACGAGGATGGCGTCATTTCGGCAGTGAAATGAATTTTAGTGGGACGAGCCTGTCGATGAAAGCGTTAGAAATGGAAATTTAAATCGTCCCC